AACAATGTTGAGAGCTTCTAGCAAGCGTATGTCTACAATATGAAAAATCTTGTATTTTCATATTTATTACAAAAATTAATTGGTAAAAATATTGGATAATAAAAAATATATAATAACCTGTTATATTAATAGCAAGAGATGGTAATTGTCCCACTAATCTCATTTTGGGTAATAAAGGATCATCTGTTATTAAACATTTATGAAATTGAATTTCTAATGTAGTTGGACACAGTAATGTCATTGAACCGTGTTTCATTAAAGCTTCTCGCCAATTTTCATTTCCTAATGCAACAAGAATCTATAAAGATAAAAAAAAGATAAAATTTTAATACTTTATTTTGCAAAGATATATAAATAAAAAATGAATACCTGAAAATTAACTATGTTCAGAGCAAATTTATCATAACTATGTTCCCTTAAGTGTAACAAAATATCTTCTTCACTTTTACCCATACTAGCAAGCTGTTTAACAGTTGTTTTGGATTTATCACTTTTGGGCTTCTCAAGAGAATGCATCTTCAAACTACCCAAATTTATTATAAATAATGATTTAGTACTATCATATAATCCACCAAGTGGTATAATTAATTGGGATGCCTGCATGTCTACCTGCAATCGAAAAGTATTGATATAATATCTATTTTTATCTATATTTTTTATTTTTAAGAATCCTTTTATTTCCAATATGTATTTATAAAACATTATACCTGAATATCTAATACTGAATGCTTTTCGATAGCATACTCTAAACCTAAGGCAGACTTTTCTTTTAAGCCTTCTAATTGTTCTGCAGCAGCTGCTTGAATTCTATAAAAAATAAAATTCTTCTGTGTAGAACATCGTATTATTGATTATGTCCAAAAATTCACATGAGAAAGATATAACTCACTGATTTAAAGCTGAAGAATTTGGAACTTTAAATAATTTAACTAATTCTATTATTGTTTGAGCATCGTATACAATATCCACAGACTTTGACTTTATAATAATACGATCTCCACATAATTTATCAAGAGGATTTTTTTCATAAGCAATAGATAATAAAACATTATCTGCGTTTTCATGTTCAGAATTAAAAAGTGAAGGAATATAATCATTTTGTTTTACTCCGAAAAGTTTCATATCACCTATTGATGTCGTTATTCTGAAAAAAAAAAAATAATATTATTATTTATTATTTAGAATATTGAACACAACAATGCAATAATCTTTATAAACATTTGTATTGCAGAAAATACAAATATTCTTTCATTCCATACACAGTATATATCTTTTTAAATGTATAAACTTACAAAATAGCATTGCCAGAAGGTCGTGACTTAAAACCGGCCTGAACAATATTTAATTGTAGATCCAAGATACTTGGATGTTCTTTATCTGTATCTAAAAGAAGTAACTGAAGACCATGTAAGAAGAAATTAGTATCAATCATTTCATATGTTTCAGGATAATGAGCTGGTGCAGTATTCTCTTGATAATCAATTGCTCGATACAATTTTTCCTTCTCTTGTGGTGTCATGGCTTCCTCAAATTTACGCACTATAATAAATAATAATACGTATGATAACGAATTTTAAATTATTAAACATATTACTTGATTCATACTACTTTATATCAGAAAGTTTAAACAATTAGAGGTTACAATGTAATTTAAAATAAATATAGAAAATAAAAGAAAATAATTACTAATAGCTGCAGCAGAATTCAATTCTTGAGTTTCTTCTGTTTGAGGAGAGCCCCATAAAAATCCAAACCACCCTTTTTTTGCTTTAAGATTCTTTTCTTTCTCTGCTAATCTTTCGACCTATCATAAAATAATAAAAGCTATTAAACATAATTCAACACAAATTCAGTTAAATAATACGTATAATACTTACTTCCATTTCAATTTGTTGTCTGATAATAACTAAATTGAAAAGATCTAACTTTGTCTCATAAGTGTTAAGACGTTCTTCTATATCTTGCGTTAATTTCTTAGTTGTTAATTTAGTTTGATATACTTGTGCATATTCGCGACACATATCTCTATGTGTTTTCATATGATTCCAGTCCCAATTTCTACGATATCTTTTTACAGTTTCTTCCAATATACAAGTATATGCAAATAACCACCTATTAATTATAAAATGTGAAATAAAGAATATACTTTACATGTTTATATAAGCATTTAAAGAGATAAGTTTTTTCTACTTACCATTCTTTGTAATGACCTCTATATGACGTTAAATTTGGTCTATATTTTCTGTATGGAGCAGCTTTTTGAGCTTGATCCAGACCTTCTCCTAATTGTACTAAAGTTTGATATTGATGTTTCGTCAATGCTATTCGTAATTTAAGCATTTCCAAATTGAGCCATATTTTTGGAATAGTATAATTACTACCATCTGTTTCAGGCTTTGGATTAAGCTTTAATTTTGCATTAACATTTATTGGACCCAATACTATAATAATATAAAAAGCATAATAATATCTAAGATTTATCTACAGATTTTTAAATGATTACAACATCCAACAATATACAATAAAATATAACTTACAATATAAATAACCAGTAGGAGTATAATCTATCGTTGCAATACCATCACAGAATAATTTGGAATACATAGATTGTGAATTTTTACTAAATTGTTCTACACCAGTATTAAGATATACAGCTAGGCCATCTAGTGTACATAACTGTAAAAATATTAACAAATTAATGTAAATGACAACGATCTTTTAAATAGTGCCAATTCATAAATTATACCTATTTATTTCTGTCGTAAAAAAAATAACTGTTAGTTAAACCTATTATTTACCTTATAAATTTGAGGAATTGCATACATATCTTTCATGTTACCAGTTGTACTCCAAGTATCTGTACAACTTTCTACGACAAATGTATTTAATGTGAATCCAACCGAAAATGGATGATCTTTAAATGTAACATGATCTTCATAACGTACATGAATTCGCTTTATTTCAATGTGTATATTTTTGATCATACGAGCAATTAACTTTTCAACCATTGAATCATTTAGCTTTTCTTGTGCTATGAATAAATAAATATATCATTTATTATACTTAAATTTATATCTTTCTTTTTTCCTCATTTCAAAAAATATATTAATAATATTAATAATTTACAAATTTACGTTTAGTTTCTGCTAATTGTTTGTTTTTCTCTATTCTTGCAAGTTCAGCTCTCTTCGATTCTAATTGTTGTCTTGCTTCTTTTTCAGAATCATAAGAAACTTGGCTGGAAGGTACAACAAGTATAAATAATTCTTCGACTATTGCATCTACTTGAGCATTCCATATGTCTTTATATGGAATCTTTAATATTAATTTACCTAAATATAATATGAAGAACAATATTAAACATTGTTTGTTAATTCTTATTTCGTATAAAATGTATCCAGTCATAAAATATATCTAATATATTTACGAACCTAATCGACCATATTCTAATCTTATAGGTAAATCCAGTACATCTAACGCTGTATCTTTTATTAATAAATCTGTCAATACAACATCACCTAGAATAAGACACGTTTATTTAATGATAATACTAAATAATATTAAGTTATATCATATTGTGTTGAAAATATTTCAATTATATGAATAAATTAAATAGAGAAATAGAGAAAATGTGAAAAAATATCACTTTTCTATTAAAATTGAATTAATACAATATATAATAAAATAAATATTAAAAGATAAATGACTTCTTTAGATTAAATGGAATTTTTATATAGTCATTTTTATATCAGTTACTATTATAGTCAAGTTGAAAAATATACTGATATATAGCGTCTGATAAAAAGCTCGTATAATGACATCAGAAATAGAAGCTGATGTCACATCTCACACCCAATAACACCTTGTTATATTTTAATACGTTTCACACACACACATTATTATATATTGCGTAAATTAAGGCAAGATAATATGTGATATCATAATAACTTTCAACATTTTTCCCCCTGTTTAACCAGAACTTTTTAACAATTTTATAATTTAAATATAAACATTACATGAAGGACAATGTAATATTTGATAAAAGACATGTAAAAATATTAAAATCATACTCACCTCCCCATAAACTAAGTTTTAATTGCGTATAATCCAAATTTTCTATATACTCTCCCAAAACTTTATTGAGAAGCTCTGCTATAATCGATTCAAAAACCATATTTGCAATTTATTTGGAAACCACAAACGAAGAAGAAAATTATATACACTTTATCGAACACTTGTTAACATGACGCCCGTTGATTTTCCTAGAAACTGTTCTCCTAAAAATAAATACTATTGAAGATGTAATAAAGTAAACTACATAATAATGCCGCAGTCATAACCTTAAACTTACGTCTTAGATCGATCAACACGTAGAATGAATGACTAACCGCTCAATAGAAGCATTTCTGCCGTTCTCTTTAGTTCTAAGCAGATGCCGTTAGAATTCGTTTCTCCTGCATTATGACAACATACTAGTTCTTACGTAACGTTCAATTTTCAACAACATTATAACAACCTATCAATATAATGGGTACTATTTTACAAATGTTAAACCAAAGAGATTAAATAAGAATGCAAATAGCCTGATGAGTAGTCTTTTGCTTTTTTAAGTGAAAACTTCTTTAACCACACCGCATAAACACTTTGTGCAGAGTAGTGGATAAGTCTGATCAGTCAAGCATATTCGGATAACAAGGCCACCACATTAGGATAATAGAGGTGACTCAGATTTATCAGCTTCTAAACTTCCCAAGCAATGATCACGTAGGGATCCTATGATCACGCTGATCGTCATGCCGCCCTAGTGGCAGAAATAAGTATTAGTTATTCCTTACGATTTTAGAGGATGGACCGCCGTCGAACTATGACGTCAGCATGCCCATGCGCATGCGCACGAAGACTCCCACGTGGGAGAGAATGCTACGTTCTGACATTACGGGTTCTTCCAGCGATCCCATTCGTACGATAATTTTCTGCCGCGTACGATAATTTTACGCCCCTGTGTCGATCAGACGAACTAAAATCTCTGGGATCACTGGGTTCTTCCCTCTGTTAGTCACATATAATTTCTGTTCTTCTTTAGATCTACATTTACGTTTATATAAAGGAAGGAATATTTTGGATTTGTTTTTATAACAAAGTAATACTATTATTGTCGAATTAAACTGTGCTAAAATTATTTTTTATTTATTTAGCGTAAATAAAAAATACAGTGAATCTGTTTAAGGCAACTAATGTCTTTAGTATAACAGAAAAACAAAAGTATCATAAATCTTTAAGGTTATAAAGACTTTGATATAAAAAGAATTTTGTTATTTTATACACAAATATATTTTTGTAAAGAAAAATGGCTCACTATAAAGGAGCTGCCAGTGAAGCTGGTCGTGCCATGCAACTCATGAAAAAACGTGAGATTGCACAGCAGGAAATAGAATTGAGAAAAAAGAAAATAGAAGATGATCTGAAAATTCATAATATAGAAAACAAATTTGCCACTCATTACAATGCAGTGGAACAGCAATTGAAAACATCTACCATCGGTCTTGTTACYTTGAATGAAATGAAAGCTAAACAAGAAAACATAGTGAAGGAACGCGAAAGAAAACTTGCCCAAAAAGAACAAGAAAAGGAACAAGAGAAGGAAAGAGCACTAGCTGCAAAGCAAGCAGAGAAAAATAAACAGAAACGACAAATACAAGCCTTATCGTTTAATTTGGATGAAGAATCTGAAGAATTAGACGATGAATCAGATGGAAATTCTGATAAGTTTGAAAAGTCAAAGAATGAGATTAATGGTCCAATTGTTAAAAGAATTAAGAAGAATCCTGATGTGGATACAAGCTTTTTGCCGGATAGAGAAAGAGAAGAAGAAGAAAATAGATTAAGAGAAGAACTGCGACAAGAATGGGCGCAAAAACAAAATGCGTTAAAGGAAGAAGAAATAGAAATAACTTTCAGTTATTGGGATGGATCTGGTCATAGACGTAGTGTCATTATGAAGAAAGGTAAGTAGTAGAAAGTATTTGTAATATCATAGTTTTGTATGCGTTAATTTTAAATATTTGTATAAAATCAGTAAAAATTCATATTAGTCAATATTAGTTATTATTATTTACAGGTAATTCGATTTATCAACTACTTCAAAGATGTCTGGAAGTTTTAAGGCGAGAATTTAGTGAACTTAAAACTGTAATGGCAGATCAATTGATGTATGTCAAAGAGGATCTTATCTTACCGCATCATTATACTTTTTATGACTTCATTGTCACCAAGGTATTTAYTGTCACGATCTTTATATATATCTTTTAACATATACTAATATATGTTATACKTTAAGTATTGAGAAAATGTTCTATATATWTTTTTCTTGTTACAGGCGAGAGGCAAGAGTGGACCACTTTTTACATTTGACGTTCACGATGATATCAGAGTTATGCATGATGCATCTGTTGAAACTGAAGAGTCGCATGCTGGCAAGGTTTTATTAAGGTAAGTTTTTTTTCCTAGTAGTATATTTGTTCACCATATATAAATTGAATGTTATTTTATATGTAATAATAAACTAAATGTTTTGAATATAAGTAATGATGAAATAATAATGATTATTGTTATGTATATTTTAGGTCATGGTATGAAAGAAATAAGCATATATTTCCTGCCAGCAGATGGGAACCTTTCGATCCCACCAAAAGTTATGACAAATACACGGTTTCGGATAAAAACAAAAAGAAAGACTTAATAAAATAATGCATTGAAAGTTATATATAGAAGAAATTGAAATTAAGGAAATATTATATATTTGACACATTACCGAATAGTGTGGAATTGTATATATTGTGTTTAATTATATTCCATTGGCGATGGAAAGTGTATAGTCTGATAAAGTCCACATAGTTGGCAATGAATTAATGAATTATAATTTGAGTAGAATCTTGTAAAATGTGAATCATACATTGTCATCTTTTTCGTAATTGTTTATTTTTATGATTTTTCACTGTTTTCAAGGATAATTTGCAATAAAGATAACGATAGAAATTTGTGATTTTCTAATGTTTAGAAATAATATATATGTTTTTATAAATATACTGTAAATATAATTATATCCTACGAGTTGATTTTTGATAAAATTAATTCATAAGCAATTAATCACGTTTTATAAGATTCTCCAGCATTAAGTTAATAACATTATCGGTTAATATATTTGTTATGTAGTTATCTTTATTACTACATATTTGAGATAGAGGCACGTGATTCATTTTAAATTTATTAAATTACATAGTTGCAAAATATTCATACAGAATATGAATGTATTGTCATAACGATGAATTAATTGGGCCATTTACAGGTCAAAACGATTCATTCCAGAAAATTAATTAAGTTTTATACAATATTTAATAGCCATACAAGATTTTGTTAAGCTCAGTATTACATATGAAAAAAATTTAACATCATTGAAGCACTTTGGTACTATTATTTGAAAAAAAATATAAACATGGAAGTAATTTTTGTTGCCTGTAAATGACTGAATCATAAGTTTATATTATCTATTTAACTTCAAATTTTCAACTTTTAATTTTTCTATAAATAGCAGAAAATACAAGATATTCATTTTATATAAGATATAATATATGTATATGCATATATAAGATTTCAAATGTATATTATTTCTTTAGAAGCCGCTGTTATTTGTCTTTTTTCATTACCGTCAGTTAATGAAGCTATAATTATTTTTGAATCTTGTAATAATTCAATTAGAATGTTTTTATGTACATTTTGTAAAGTATTTATTGTTGATAAATGGTTAACTGAAGCATTTATTAAATTTGTATTACTTGTATTTGATGGTAATAGCATATGTTTTATAGGCTTTTTACAATGTTTATGTGTAACACCATTTTGTAGTACCTATTGTGAGGAGGACCGAAAAATAATGTCGTTTCTGCGCGTATCAATTGCATTATTATTTATCAGCTCATTGTGTACTTCAACGGCATGCTTGAATTTAATGTAAAAAAATGACATTACTTTCAGGTCTCCTCAATATTTGGACAATTTATTTTGAAAGTGGTGTAAGTCTATTTTCTCTTGTTTCGAAAAAATTAAAGGTTTTCATATCAATGATTACTCAATTTCTTTTACCGACCAATTTTAAATTGTACAAAACATGAGCACCACTCTCAAAATAAACGGTTCTTTAATATCTCTTTCAATCTTTCACGATTTTTGTATTGACATAATAATGTTTCTTTCATCTCTGTCTATGTTAAGAATCATCTTAAATATACTTCGTTTTACTTACAACAATTTACTTATTGAAGTGAGTATGTTTAATATATTCAAAGTTGCAAAAAATATTTACTTCTATATTATTATCAAATTTTTTGATAGCAGTATCCAAATTCTCTATCTTCAATAATTCTTTTTTCAACTCCTCATTTATTGTACTAATGTTGTTCAATTGGCATTTATCAATATTATTTCTAAGATATGTTTTCCCGATGTTATCTTGATCATCTTGTAACAAAAGATCAGAATTTCAAGAAAACATTTGCAATTAATTTTGCATAACTTTAATTACCTTTAATTTGAAGATTTTCTCGTAAACGCGCGAAAAATTCACATTTTCGTTGATAATTTAATTGCGTTAATTCCTTTAATTCAGTTATTTCCTCTTGCATTTCTTTCGTCGATATATCTTTTATCAAAACAAGAGTATACACAATATACTAACATTTGTATTTACAAATAAAAACTAAGAAATAAAGCGAAGCTAAATGTAATTTCAAAAGTTAAAAATCACATGCGATGTGCTTTAAAAGATTTTGATTGGATTACATTAAATGTAAGCTGCCCAATCAAAAGTCAAGGACATATACTTTCGCAATGTCACGATTTATTTGTGGGAAAAATTTAAATTTTATACGAAATAATTATCGTCGAAATTAAGACGCAAGAATTGATAATAATAAATATATATATATATATGATTGTTAACAAGATTAAATCCTAAAAAATATTATCTCCGATGAAAAATTCAATGTTACGGTTTTTCGAGTTTCGTGGTAGCAGCCTTTGCACCTGTATTAAATAACCTGATGGTACCTCTATTAACTTTTCACGATATTTCACAGTCTTTAAAACTTTCTCCTTCTTTCTCATCTTGTGTCACATCTGAACACGACGTATCATCCGTCATTGAAACATTCATTTTCGATTCTATCGAACAATTCGATTGTGTATTTGGCATATCTACTTTAGACGAATTGATTATTTCTGTCGAAAGCATCGCATTTTTAATTTCAGAATTGCCATTATATTGTTCGGAAATTTCTTTCATATTATCCGCTACAACTCAATGATGTCTTCCACTGGACGATGAATTACGTGAATCATGGTTCCTATTAGTTCTACAGGATAATTTCGAACATGTTTTACTATCCTCTTCATCGCTACTTCCTTCCGTACAAAGTTCTTCTTCTGATATCCATAATTCTTCTTTTTCCTATAAAGCAGAAATAATTCAAATCTTATTTTTTTTTGAGAATATAATAGGCCCAGTTATGTATAATTTAACTAAAAATTAATAAACTCAATATGGATCCAATTATTCATTTATTCAAAATTATTGAAAAATTGTAAATAATATTAATAATATTACTTACAATTAGTATTAAAAAACATTTTAAACAAGAAAAAATATATCTATTAGGAATAAAGCTATATTATTATTATTATTATTATTATTATTATTATTATTATTATTATTATTAAAATTTTCAAATTAAATTTACTGAAATTTAGATCATAGATTATTAGCTTTCTGCATGATTTGGTTCATTATTAATAACTGATAAGTCGGTTTCTATATTTCGTTGGTCAAATGGCGATAGGAGTGAAGGATTTTACCAAAAAAATTAGATAATAGTGCAAATGTACTACTAATACACTATATTCTCAATATAACGAATCTTACGAACGATATGTAAATCTGAAAAAACAGGTCAAAGAAATATATATATATATATATCTATTATATATATATTTTGAATTACGCATCATCGTCTCACCTCCTTCATTAATGTATTTCATATTTTGTATTCCATACATTTCATTTCACATAATATCGAGCTAATGGTCGTTTAAATATATTTAATTCTTAATTAAAAGAATATAAAATTTGTGCAATAAATAAAAACTTTTCAAGTTATCAATCTTGAAACAAGTCTAATTTGTATATCTGTATATTTTTTTTTTGTTTTTATTACATTTTTATTAGATTTATATTATTTAGTTTCTTGTTTATCTTATAATTAATATTCAAATGCAAAGTTATTTATTGTTACTATTCAGTTAAAGTGAAATGTTAGCCAGATTAGAAAAACAGTTTATTAATTAAAAAACGAATATCTGTGCAGTTCACACTCGATAAAAACTTTCATAAAACAAAATATGCAATATTTGACGATCGTCCAGTTTTTAATAAAGTGCGAGTATCACGAGGAATTTTATATTCCGGGTCCTTCAAACCTTTTAATAAATTACCCAATTGAGTATGATTAATATTGTTTTCTAAGGACCATACTTTTAAAAAGTTGAGCAATCTTAAATTTGCAAAAGCAGTATCTTTGTTATTTGCAATAATATTATCTATTTGTTTATTTCTATTAGTTTCAAAATTAAATGAATTATTAATATTAAGATCGGAAACAGGAGTAGAATTTATTTCAGAAATAATTAGCAAAATTTTGGATTCCTCAATAATTTTGTCGACACACCGATTCTGAATAAACGACGAAGTCATCTGTTTCTTTATAAATTTATATTTTTGGTAACGCTTCTCGGACATATTTTTTGGTTTATAGTATATACACAATATATGTCAGACAATATTACAATATGCAATTATGATATTATTACATAAAAAAATATTATTTACTTTTGAGCTGTCATGTTGTATGCGTAACGTACGGCGAGAAGAGTAATTTACAAACGTAACACATACTATAAAACAGGACACTGATTCAAGATGTTCGCTCGATAAACGTTTGCTCAGATTGAACGTAAATCCACCAATGATCGAACTGCTCCGTTTTCGATGTCCCTATAGTTACCCAAAAAACGTTGATAAAATGTTTTATCAATATTTTTTGGTAACTGTGCATTGATTTGCCTCGTTTTTGCTGAATATGATGCAATCTTCAGATGACACGACAAGTCGATGCAACTCACAAAATGTCTTCTTAATATAAAAAAAAAAAATTTCAAATATCAAAAAGAATATATTTTATTTCCAATATTAAGTTAACATGTATTTCATATCATAAAAAATATATTTTTCTGTAATATGGAATAAATATTAAATTAATATTTGAAAAAAAAAATATTTCTTTCTAGATCTAAAATAAATATTGAATTAACATTTTTAAAAAATATTTCTTTCCAGATCTAATCTAGATCTAATCTAGATCTAATCTAAATATTAAGAAAACATTAAAGAAAAATATTTTTTTCTAAATCTAAAATAAATATTTAATATATATTTATATATTAACACTAGATATACTACCACTTTCAGTATACCTATTTCTACCACACCAGTCAAAATGACTGGTGTATAAAAAAAATGCTTTTTGAGGCTTCCAGTCTTTATTTACTCTTAAAAAATAACAAAAAATGTTTAAAAATAATAATTTTAATAGATAAATGGATTTATATAGACATTTTTAAATAACAAAACTTTTAATTATTTACAGTTTGTCGGTCGTAATTTCTACATATGTAGATTTTGCTGTGTGTACACTTTCCACATACACATTTTTTGCATGTATTGTAAATGTTTGTAGTTTTATTGTTATTGCGATATCTTATTTGACACCATTTTCGTACAGGAACCATGCCACTTGTAGTTGGTATACCAGCTTCGTGTGGTTTTTGCCTTAAAGTCTGATATTTTGAAGCAAGTTCTTTTGCTGATCGAAATAGATAGTCTTTCTGAGAGATATTTTCTGTTGTATTTTTGTACAATATCCAGCAATTTATTCCGGCTAAATCTAAAATATTAAAAAAGACTTGAAGTGGCCACCTTTCGGAACCTGATTTCACGGTATATTTTCGTGCCATTTGATCAGAGACATCGACGCTAAATTTAGTTCTATTATAAAACGATACAATTTCAGATAATTTCTTAGCAGTTTTATCAATGTTGACATGTTTATGTTTTGTCTGGTTTGCTCTTATAAACGGTAAGTGTACATCCATTGAATTGGTACAACAACGTTGAGAAATGAGTTATGCTGTTTTTATTTCAATTTGCGAATTTTCGGCAAAAATTTCCTTCGTACAACTCACGTGTGTACTATATTTCAAGAAACTCTTTCAATTTTGCTTGCGTAATTGTCCAGTTTTTTTCCCAAAACTCGAAACTCGAAACAAGAGTGTTTGTGCCTCATGCACTTACAAAGTTTGCCACTATATGTACTGCATCGATCTCATGATTATCCCGAAATCATATTTCTGTGTCGGTAAAACATTACAGTACCCATCCATTGTGGTAGCTACCCCAATATCATAGAATTTCTTCATAGAAACATGCACCAGTCATCTTGACTGGTACAAGTGTCCATGATAAAAATTATTTTTGTTACTAATAGATATAAAAAAAAATTAAGTTCATAAAATGTATTCTCTACTTATTCCTACAAAAGTCATAACATCATTTCGTAAATCAAATGTTACATGAAGTAGATATTTTGAATTGAAATGGTCCGACCAGTCAAAATAACTGGTCTGGTAAATTTAGTGTCAAACAGATCCTAGTAGCACAAAATATTGAAAAATATTGAATAAATATGTATTTAATATTATAAAGAGATTAAAAGAGATTTAATGTTTTTTTAATATCAAATACACATGTATTCAATATTTTGTGCTACTAGGGAAGCTTCGAGAGAATGAGATGAATGCAGAGTATCAGGAGTAGGATAATTGTAGGGTTTATATATTATAATATTATTACCAAGTTTATAAAAATTATTTTACATTATATATTCTACATATATTACATTACATATTATACAGATTCCAAGTTCTTTTTTCTGCCGATATTCACGATACTTTTCGGAATTAGTTTTCGGCATACTTGTAAAAATTGTTTTTATTAAAATGATGAAAAAAAATATTCACATAAACGATCACGGAGCTTAAATAAGAAGGAGAACGATCACTGTGTATAAAAGTGTCCCCAAAATATAGAACAAATAAAATGTTATTCCAAGGTGTGCTGTAGCTGCTTAGATCAATTAGCGCTCAACAATATTAAATAAAATTATTTGTACGTACCTAAAACAATAAAGAGGCTTATGTAATTATTGCTTATTAAATTATTTATTTAAAATTTGACGAACAAGCAAACTAATGTAGAAAGAAAAATTTTAAATAATGTTAAATATTTTATATTGGTTATTGTTAATTTATGTGGTTATATGGGATAAAATAGAAAGGATTACTTTAATAATTTCGGATATATTTAACATGAGGTACTGAACACGTGTAACATCGTAAAATCGTAGAAGAACAAAACAAAAAAATAGCGCAAAACAGGGTTATCAACTTTACTTTAAACAAAAAAAATAACTAAATAAAAATAATACCATCCTAATAAATCTGATTAAACTATTATATCTTTGATCCTTAACATTAATCTAATTTAACAATACAGTCTCAAATAACTATAACATAAATTAAATTAACATTACTTAACAGTTATAAAGCTGTTTGTCGTTGATTTAACTCCGATTTTAATTTCCTTTCAGCTGAAGAGCCACTAAAACAATTTTTTATAGTACACTTTTTCACCATTTTCAACAATACTATTTTTATTTCTTGAAAAACGTAAAAATGTTGAACACCGTTAAAAATATTTATCCACATGTATATTTACAAATACGCAATGCTCAATAATTTTTTGTGATGTCACTAGGATTGAGGTAATCACTATGCCGTCCTAGTGGCAGAAATAAGTATTTATATTTTGTAACTTTTTTAGGGAATACAATTTATGACAAATTACCTATAGCGATCGTTTTCCTTCTTATCTAAGGTCCGTGGTTTATTATATTAAAACAGTAAAGATTATTATTAATAGTATGAATAATGTTGTCATTGTTATCAATCATTTTTTAAACAATATTGCCAATTTTTATTTATTAAATTTATATAAAGTAAAAATTTTTCCTGTACATGTTGAAAATGTATGACGCTTATTCTTTTCCACTCTAATTGTAATTCGATTGTTCACATTAAATTACAGAGTTTATCATAATTGCTCTCAGGAAAGAGAGAGAGAGAAAGAGAGAAAAAATGAAATTATTTGAAGCTTTTTCTAGAATACTTAATAGTTTCTTGGAAAGTTTACGAATGTTAATGATAATAAATATTAATTTAATGACACTAAATGATGATTCTTAAGATTCACTTAATAGATACTATTAAAAATTGTAGAGGAAAGTTTTGTCCATGTGTGTTAATAATCATTAACTTTCTGTTAATGAAACAATGTCGTAAATTTTTATATTATTTCCTCCATACAAATTTCTCAGTATTACCAAAGAATTCGAATTCAAATTAGTCGATATTTGTTCATACATTTTTAGCTACTTAATTTACTGCTGATAAGTGATGTGTTAATAGTTGTATCTAATATTAATTGTAACATTACTTCCAAATATTAAATCTAACATACATATTGTTACAAATTATTAACATCGTGATTTGAAAAATTGTAGTTATTTTAATAATCATCTTAACAAATCAACAGTAAATAAAGTTTGAAAGGAATTATCAATGAAACGAATGCATTAGTTCCTTTATGTCTGTATAGATGTCATCACGCAAATTTTTTTGGAACAGTGACTTTTTTTTTTATTGAACGATGCGTAATTTCTATGCATATAAAAATTTAAGTTTACAATTTGTAAGAAATATTCCTAATCTGTAAGTGATACGTAAACAAGTAAACATGCATCACGAGATCAAAGATTAGTAATAGGGTGATGCCACGGAAAATTTACGATTTAATCGTGATAATAAAATATGGGAGTAGGGGAAATAGGAAAGCCTGTGTCGAAAGGAGTGTCGAACGTGGCGCTTCGAGACGTTCATTTGATAAGAGAACAAAAAAAAGTGGGAGTAGGAAAAGGAAAGTAGTAGGAAGACCTAAGAAAGAAAGAGGATAAAAGGGAAAGAGGGCAGGAAGAAAACCGTTAAATGTGAACGAGCGTTCGTATACACGGGTCATAAAGTGATATTAATTGGCAGCTTCACCGACGCATGGTTATCAGAATTCCTATCTTCTAGAAAATAACAATGGCGACTTTCAAAGCAAAGAACTTTCGCTTGGCTGATATTAATGCTGTATTCTTCGATTTGGACAATACTGTTATCGAAACAAGAAAAGCAGACAGTCGAACTTGTCGAAAGGTATATATATATTTATATCTATGTAATGTTTTAAACCGTTTATATTTAGAAACCAACCTTTACCCCTTTCCTTCTCTCATTCCGTCTCTTTCATTCTTTCATCTTATTAATGCTGTATAATGTGTATATATATAATATATATATATATATATATATATATATATATATATATATATATGTATTTATGCGTATGTGGCAAGGATGGTATGACATGCATACGTAAAATGCATGTATATATATGCATATTCTTCAATGTACATATATTACTAGTTACTCATAGTAAATTTAAGTAGAGAGTTAATCAGTAGGTCGGCAGAGGTCAGACGCGTCGCGTTTTATGCACATTGCTCTTGCAACGGAGAGCTTCGCAGTAAGATATGCGACGTTTTATCCTTTGTAAGTTGTTCTCTCCATTCTCGTCGACGGAGATCAAACCCGAAATAGATACGTCCCCCTTGACGGTTGTAATTCGAGCCGACTCCCCGTTATAGCACTTTCTCCGCGAGAACTATTTTCGTACCTACCGCGCGGTATCTTTTCATCGTTGATGCGCGCGAGACGCAGAAAGTGCTCACCAACGCAGCAACGTGTTTTTTAACATTCTTCTTTGAATACCACCCACGTATTTACTTTCCACGTACTTCTTCAAACTTATTTCGAAGGAATAATATAATAATATAAAAAAATACGAAAATTTTAATGTTGTCATTTTGTAACCAACAAATGGCACGATGGAAAATAATTGATGAAATTGAACTACTCGATATTCGTATCAAAATAAGATAAAATATTTATTTTAATATAAAAGGACAAATATATAAAAAGAGAGAAAGTTAAATCGTTCGATATCTTGGATAAGAAGAATGAGAAATGCTTATTTCACCTTTCATTAATCTTGAGTCAATAAAGAATTATTCTCTTATTGGGAAGAACAGAAAGACAACGGAGACTCACTTGACTTTTCACGAAAGCGTTTACACGTACGGACCATAGTTTCAAACTAAGAAGTTATTTTTAAACCAAGAGAGAGAGAGAACGTGTCAAAGGGCAAGGCTATAGAGCTTGAGGTGTTTGTCCTAGTAGCTAGCTTCTATGCCAGTTTCCTTTCGACAGTGGTACGTGTAAGGCGTGACTCTTGAACATTTTTCATTTGTGAATTCTTATGAATACATTCTTATTTTGGAGCATCGATATTCGATGCATTTTGTGAAGAGTGGTCAGTGACGTATTGCTTTATTTTGTATATGTATAGACTTATATATACATATATTTATTTATAATTCATTGATAAAAATAAAGCAGCAATATGAGTATTCCAGAGGAAGTCAAAAAATGCGCTTCCATTTTGAAGTCTGTTAATACAGATTCAGAAAAGTTTGCAGTCCTTTTTATGGTAACTAAATTAGTTAATGCCACGGATTGTAATCTGGCTGCTAAGCAAATGCTTTTCGAAGCCATTGGTACAAAATTTATAAAAAAATTATTATCTAGCGACACGGTTCCTGTCGATTGTCCAGCACAAGTATATAAATCAGTAGCACTATCAATTCTTTCTGCCTTTTGCGGAGAGCCAGAATTAGCATCTCATCCAGATATGGTAACGCATGCTCCTGCTCTTCTTGAAATTATTTCTCAAGCGGATGAAGATTCAGTCGATGACATGTTAATTATTGTTATGGAAGCTTATAGATGCTTGCAAAGCATTGCACAATTTTTACCAGGTCAAAAAATACTCCTGGAACATAAAGCAATATCTAAAATGTGTGATATTTATTCAGAGAAAAGTTTTCAAACTGACGAAGCTCTAGAAATTTTAGTTACTTTAGTTGGAAGATATGGTCCAGATGCTTGGGATGCAACTGATACAATACCTTTCCATGCAATTATGAATAAAATTGCGTGCGATTTTGAAACAGATCACACAGAGAGAAAATTTAAATTATGTAGCATTTTGCAAGCATTATTAGTTTCTTGCAGAAAAGAAATGATATCAGCATCTGCAAAAGATGAATCCTGGCCACTTAGTATTCACAAAGGATTGAGCGATATTCTTGGTTCTAAGATAGGAAAAAATCAACGAGATCCTGCTTTGAAATTAGCTTCAGTTATGATGGATCTCTTAGGTGCTGAATGGACCATGTTAAATAAGGACAAACCAAAGATACTCATATTATTATTAATTCAGTTAGCATCAATAGAAGTTAGAATGCAATTAGAAGGTCATCAGCTTAAAACTGTTGTTACAAATGGTGATTTAGTTACAGCTTGTTTTGGCATTCTTGAAATTTCTCTCATGTATATTATCTCAGATCAATTAGATTTAGAACAAAAAGAAAAACAATCCTTATATACAGCTTTGAAGGGTGCTTTTGCTGCTATTATTGGCCTATTAAATTCAGTATCAAAAATGAAAGAATTGACTGATATCAAAGAACGTATTTTCGTTTGTGCAATGGTTAGAGTAGTTGCAGCATGGCTGGCACAAGAAACAACTGCTATGAGACCACAAGTTTATGCGGTATTGCCATTTGTATTAACAATAGCCAATGATACATTTTATGCATATCGTAATAGAAAACTTGCGGAAAAAGCTAAAGCAGGTGCTAAAGGTGGAAGTACCAAAAACGAAGAAGGATCATCCTCTGCAGAATCTATACCATGTGATCCACTTAGTGAAGTTGATTTATTAAGATTGCTTCTACCAGCCTTGTGTTATTTAGCGGTAGAAGAAGATGCTAGGCAAATTTTACTTGCTCACAAACAAGATGAAGTCTTATTTGAAAGTTTATCTTATCATTGGACAATAGTACATTACAAAAAACCACCAGTTCCTAGGTCAGAACGCTTAAAAGCATTGAAAGAAACTGATAAAACAGATGAGCTTGATTTACAAACTTTAGAAGAAATGCAGGATTCAAGACAAGCAATGGTTTCTATATGCAATGTCTTAATGAATATAACGGTGCTAGAAGCCAAATTAGTAGAGAAATCTCCAATATATATTAATTTATTGAAATTCATTTTCAATAATCTTCCGGAATTGAAACAAATGCCAGATAATTTAGTTCTACATGGTCACTTAGCAGTCTTAGGACTCTTATTATTAAAGCAACAAGCACAGCGTATTAAGAAGAATGACTTTTCAATTTGTCGTTATATTCAAGCTACCATTAGATTTTTATGGGATGCATATATAATAGATGAAAGTAATGATCCAACTGAATTAGTTGTTGCTATGTCCTATAAAGAACGTTGGATGGAACTTATGGAACTCTGGTTTCTTGGGATGCAAACAATGGCTGGAGTATTACAAGTAATACCATGGTTATCACAATTTACAATTGAATCTGGATGGGTAGAAGAAATAATTGAAACTCTGAAAAAAGTTAAAGTTGGTAGTTTACAACCAAATGTAAAATCTGCTTTTGAAGATCTTCTATGTCATTTGGTGAAGGCAGATAAAGGCGTTGCAGTAGTTTTGAAGAAATGCGGAGCATTGACAGTATGCAGAAATCATCGTTTGATGGAACTTGGAAAGCACTTATTTGGAGATTAAAATTAAATTCTTTTTAATAACTTTTATATTATGTATACTCTCCATTAAAATTAAAAGTAATTTTTATTATTTTTTGAAAAATTTAATATGCTTTGTGTGTTTACAATTACAAATAGAATACATCAATTTATTTTATTATAAAACAATAAATTATAATGTTGACAAAAGTAGTTTTATAATTGAAGTACATAAAATATAATATTTCGTTCAGCCAAAACTACTCTAAAATCTCTTCAAATTTTGTCTATCGAAAATGTCTATACATACGTAAATCAGATATAAATTTAGATATTAGTCTATCTGGAAATAGTTTGTATTTGGCAGCAGGAAAGAAACAGGATTTTCTAAAAACAATCTTCTACATGTTATTAACATGAATATTTAGATTTATAAAAAATATGTTTAATTTTTTCATTCATTTTTTATTATATTTTGTTTGGATGTAACTGATTATGTTATATACACAATTTTGTTTTAATAAAGAAAAATAATTACAAACGTTTGATTTACCTTAGAAGATATATGTAAAATAAAAATGTAAAAAGATTTAAAAAAAAAAAAACTTTATTATGTAATAAAAAAGAAAAATGATAGCACAATATAATTTATATCTTTTATTTCATTTGTAATAATAGATTTAGAGAAATATCGTTGTTATCATTAAAGAGAAATATATTAACAGCTTTGTAACATGACAAAAGCATTTTTCTATTAAAACAAATACTCTTACGATTTATCTTTACTTTTTTTTTATTGGCACAAATAGCGAACCATAACATTCATCCTGAACATGAATGTGAGCGTATCTTTTAATTATGATTGAATATCTAATTCTTTTTAATTATTATTTAATCTAATGGATGGGTACAATTTCATAGCTACAATTTATAGAGTTGGAGCATCATAAATTTGTTGTTGGCACAACTGATTTTGTTGTGATTACAGCAACGTCCGCGGGTGCTACTTCGAGTGTCCACTAATCGGCTCGAGTATTTCAATGAATCAATGCATTTTCTAGGTAATCATTAATATGAATTAAATGTCCTATATAATCCTAATTTATCGCTTCTGTCCTTTGGTCCAGTGAAGTCTTTTTTAAACTGTATATAAATCCACGTTCAATATTTTGTCCATTTCAAAGAACTATACTTTATTTATTATTATATTGTTTTATAAATAGTTTAATTTTTCATATATTATATTATCATGTGTTTAATAATAATAAGTGATGAAAGCACTTTCATAAATAGCAATTTATTGAATGTGGAGATCATTACTGTCCTTTATTTTCCTCTCATTTTTCATTTTCATTCATCATTCTTAACATTACTTGAAATAAAAAAAAAATGAATGTGAAATCTAAATCTAATCTATGATATTATATATGTACCTTTAGCTGGCTGAGGAGCTGACACAAGAATATGGAATTCCTGAAGAAGTATCCATTAAAATAACGACTACGTATTTGAAGCTATTCAGAAAATGTCCAGATAATTGTACCTGCTTGTTAGATGCTTGGCGAATGTTATTATGGAAAAAAGCATTAGGAGAAAAGTATTCGTATTTAGCCAAAAATGTTTACGAGCGTTGGCTGTATTTAAGATACCAATATTTGGCATTAGAATCTGATGTTATTGCATTACTTCGACGGTTGAAAGAAAAATATTTGTTGGGATTAATAACGAATGGACCATCCAATTCACAATGGGAAAAAGTGAGAAAGCTTTCATTGGAACAATACTTTGATATTATTTTAGTATCAGGTGATTTACCATGGGAAAAGCCAGAAACAAGAATTTTTGAAGAGGCATGTCAGTTACTTCGTGTAGCACCAAGTAATTGCATAATGATTGGTGATAAATTAGAAACAGATATCTTAGGTACGTTCTATTTGTATAATCCTTCCTTAGAGATCACTATTAATATATTATATTATATATATACAAACAAAATACATTTAATATATAAATCTAGTAATATGTTTTACGTATTAAATCAGGTGGAATAGAAGCAGGTTTTGGTGCCACTGTATGGATACCAATTGTAGACAAACCACATTTAAATGCAGATGATCCACAGCCTGATTTTATTGTCAGACGTTTAACGGATATTTCAAATATATTGAATCGTAAACCAGGTGCACCGGAACTTGAAGATACTTCCTCTAATGCATCTGATGGCAGCTAATATAATACTATGCTTCTATCTTCTTTTTTATAATGCATAGTACAGAAATATTCTACAATCATACACATCTCAAAAGTGACTAGTTATATTTTCAGTAGCTAACCGAGTTTGTGTTAGATATTGCAAATAACTCAATAGCCTGATTGATTAGCATATATCGAATATCACAGATCTTGTTTTATTTTTCTTTAGTATATTTTGATAAATATTATCTTTTATTTACTTTTCTTTTCTTTTATAGTTACCATTTTTACTTATTAAGCATTATTAAATATCTACAGTGAATAATTTAGTTAAAAATTGTATTTTATATTATGATACTAGTAAAAGTATTTTTATCTCGAGTTCTCTGAGAAAAAAGAGACGTAACGAATGTACAAAGCACAGTGCACAAATAGACTTACTTAGTTATGAACTTGGGAAAATCTAAGTATAATAATGAAAGGAATAAGTGAGTTTTATTCCAGATAGATACAAATAGACTATTATACAAAATTTATTTGCGATGCAATATAATAAAATATTTTAGTATACTCGTGTTTCACTGTAATTTAACTGTGAAAACTTGTTCGGGTTTGCACATTTATAGGTGCATCATGTAATTATGTGTAGATAAACTATGTGTATGTATACACAAAACAGGACATATATTTTTTACTATATATTTTATTTTTATGAAAAAAGAAAGGAAAAAAAAAAAAACAAGTTTCATGATATTCTCGAAATAATATAGGAATCTCTGTAATATAACACTTATAATATAGAAGAATAAATGTGTATGTAATGATATAAGTGTATCTTTTTATGCAAATATCAAATAATCCTTAACATTTACAAAAATCTAAAAAGATTGAACATTAATGAAGTATATATATATACTACATTATACTATTTATATTATAGACAATTACAACTTATAAAGATGTTTTTATTTTTTTTAGGTCATTTTAAGATATAATTGTTTTTGTCATTCTTATCAGTTCCACTTAAAAAAATTTTTATTTCCTTGTTAACTGTTGATTCATATCCATTTAATTTGGACACATTCATTTCTATTTCATTTTGTTCCTGAATCATATGTTAAATTTGTTAATAATTAAAAAAAATTCTCTATACGTCTAAGTTAAATTTTTTTACCTTTTTACTTTCTTGATGTATCATTGTATCGATTTGATCTGTTATACTACTATTTCGAATCGATTCATTAATTTTTTCTTTTTTCTTACGAGGAATTGCTACTAATTTTTTTAATTCTTTATCTTTTTTTTCCAGTACATCTCTTTTTGGTTTAATAGAGATACTTTTGATCGGCTTATTATCAACAGTTTTCGAAAATCCAGATTTCTTTGGAATCTTATCTTTCTTTAATTTGTTTGTTTGAGCTGTTGACTTTGTCTGAAAAAGTTATCAACATTTATTATACAAATTCTCTTTTTCATTATAATTTATATTTGAATATAAAACACACCATATTACTTATGCGAAGATTTTTTGGATTTTTTTTTATTTTTTGTGACGGAAGAAACTTTTGTGTTGAATCAGTTATTGGTATTTGATATTCATAATCAAATTTTTCTTTTGGTTTTTCTATAGCATGTGCTATTTTTCTATAGCATTGTGCGATTTCACCTATTTTGCCACGATTACATGGGAGAATATCTGTTGGAGGAATACTCGGAACCTCCATATTTTCATCTATATATTTCTTCTTTTCTTTGTATACTTCTGTAGCTTGTACTTCTATTTTGTTTATTTTCATTCTTGAACCAACATTTATTTGTATTTCTGTTTGAATGACTTCATCCGCAACATTTAATGGCATGCTCTCTTCTTGATGTAATCGCAAAAATGTCGAGCACATTCTTGTGCATAAATTTTATTTATAATTTTATAATTACTTGTTACATACACTAATATAATTAATGTATATACAATTAACACAATATCAATATATTTTACATCACAAAAACATTAACTTATTTGTTAACTATATACAGAGTAACAAATATTATCAGCTGCTCTGTTTGCTACACACAACAAAATAAATAAACCGAAGTTTTTATAAGCATTTTTACAAATTTTTTTTTTTTATGAAGATGTAATGTGTAATTAAGCAAATAGAAATAGCTTACGGCTCTGTATAATTATCATTGTGCAGAGTCACTGGGCTTTGCGGTGTTTGAATCGTTTCATCCTGTTTTGATGAAAGATCATCTGTGGTTGAGCTCTTGTTCTCGTTTTCTAAAATATGATTTTTAGTTCCTGATTTCAAATCTTCAAGAAACGTGTTTTCTGGACCAAATGTATTTTCTTTCTGAAGTTCTACATTGTTTAATTTATCAGGAAGAGTTTCTAATTTATTAGGAATACTATTTATTTTTAATTCTACCTGTAATATTTATACCATAATTAAAATATAGTTTTGCAATAAATGGAGTTTAAAAAGTGCAATACAAATGATCATCATCAAAACAATACCATATTATCAAGAACACTTTCCATACTCTTATGATGCAAACTTTTACAAATATTTTCTGCTTGTTTAGGATCTATGCCAACTTCTAATAATGATGTAATTACGTCACGCTCTGTTATAAGAAGTTCTGGATTTGCATCAATCAAAACTACTGACTTTTTTGATCTTGGTTCTTTGTTGCATTGAGTTTCCATTAATTTTTGGTAGGATAATAACTTTCCTATTACTTTGTTCTCATCTAGTATCTTTGGTGGGGTTGGTGGTCTGACTTCTTGTAACTGTATTTGACCCATATTAGAAAATTCTGTATCATCATCCGATGCATCAGACTCTTCTGACACATTTAAAAAAGTTTTCAATCGATATATTTCTTTCAACATTTTATTCTATATAAAAAATAAAATAAGATTTTCATACGTTTTATAACTTAAAAATACAATTTATATGTATTTAGATAGGCATATATTTACCAGATCAAGTGTAGTTCTATGTCGTTGTAAATGTTTTTTAAATATTTCATTTAGTTCCTTATCAGTATAGATACCACATTTAATAATATCTTTGGTAATCTCGTATGCAAATTTAACGTATCTTGCATCCTCTTTTGCTTCAATTTCTGCATACTTCAATTTCTGCATTTGCACTGGACTTGATAAGGAAGAAGAAGTATGATCTTCTTGTATTATAGAACTGGAGCTTGAACCAGAATCAGAATGATAAGGATTTGTAGGTGATTCAAAAGATTTTCCACAGGTAACGTAAATTGGTTTCTCATTACACCTGCATTTTCTTTTTAAAGAAAGCTCTTATTTAATTAAATTAACATTTAATATCAATTTAAATATTATTATAGCTATTGTAAAAAGTTATTTCAATCTGATCGTCAATCATTATTATTGTCATCATTATCATTATTATTAATCATTAATCTTACCTATGAATGATACGTTTTTTCGAATTCAATTCTTTAATGTGTTTATTTCCAGCAGTTTTAGGCCGACTTTCACTCCTATCTGATACTATTTTTTTAGATTTTAACATTGAACGATTTTGATAATTATTTTTACTGTTACTTTCAGTATCAGCAGTTTGTATTGCTAATTGTGAATAATCTATATCGTTTATGTTATATGGATATGTTTCACAATTGTCTTCTGAGTGACGCGAAGAATATTTATCTAAATTCATCCTGAGCATATCCTATTTTAATTATCGTCCAAGAAATATAAAAATGCTTTCATTAGTTATGTATTATATATTCTATAACACATATGTATATTAAAAAATGTATGAACATACCATAGGATGATGTTTGGTATCAAAAGCCAATTGATCAATAAAATTATCCAAACTGAATTTTCTTGGAAGTTGTGTTTTTAATTCTTTTTTCTTATTATTTATATATTTCTTATTTCTAGCATCGACAACACTTTTCGCTAACAAAACTCGACGTATATGAAATCGCATTGAGTTATATGAGGATAATTGTTCAAAATAATTTTCTCCAGCCAAGTTATATACTAAATAGAAAAGACAATCATATTCAATAATTATTTATCATTATTTATTATTAATTATTATATTATGTCATTCAAAAAATAGATTTGGTGTATTGTGAAGTAGGTTTTTCAAATATATTTTTCAGCTTCTTCACATATAGTATTTATAATATAATTTATAAATATATATATGTCATAAAAATATAGGCAAATTTATTGTCAAATAATTTGGAAGAAAATGAAAACTCACATTACTCCAAATTCAGGCAACATTTGGAACATCTTAGATTTGGAATATACATGCATGCAAAAAAGAATACTTATATATAAGTACTCTAAAGAAAAAGATTCAAAAACTATTATACTTAAGAATGTAATAAATACATACCACTGCTTTTGAGATTAACATCACTGTTGTGAAATCGTGTCATTTTTATTTTTATGAAAGATGCAATTAAAACTTCAAGTAAATATTGTTTTAGAATCTAAATTTTCTAATTATACAAGAGATTTAATATTCTTACATTAACCTTTATTCATTGTAAATTTTGTCATTATGGCAGTTTCGATAATTATTTAAGGTTTCGTTTGAAAATGTTCAATCATATTTGGAAAAATTTTCCTTAAGGCAAAGAAAAACAAAATTTTTGTTCTTTCCACTTAAAATTGACTGTACGTAAATGCGTCATTAGGTTGCTTAGCAACAGTAAATTGGTTATGCTAAATAATACTTATGCATAATCCTTTCTTATCCAAATTTTATACTCAGAGGTTAAGTTATTTTAATATGATACAGCATTTTTCCATTTTGATCCATATATTTTCAAATAAAGTATTGAATACTACAAAAAGATAAAAATAAAAATAATATTCCTATATATATATATATATATATATATATATATATATATATAGTTGTTGGTATATATTGAATAATTATTTTGTATAATTATATTTAATATAATTTTTAACAAACAAAAATGGCATTAAAAGGGATAAAAGTTATAGAACTGGCTGGACTTGCTCCAGGACCATTTTGTGGAATGTTATTAGCAGAATTTGGAGCTACTGTAATAAGAGTAGATAAAGTAAGTACAATTATTTGATAAAAAATTGTTGTTGTTAATTTTACAAATATTTAATTTAATTGTTTGAATATTAAATTTAATTGTTGTTGTTAATATTACAAATATTTATAGGTTGGAAGTGGAACAGTATTTCCTGATTTCACTGCTAATGGAAAACGGTCAATAGCATTAAATTTGAAAACCAAGGAGGGTGTTGAAGTTTTTAAAAAAATGAGTAGACATAGCGATGTAATAATAGATCCTTTTCGTAGAGGTCAACAGCATACTATCATATAAATATAAAAATTAAATTTTTATTTTATCTATGTAATTTATGCAATAGGTGTTATGGAAAAGATGAAAATAGGACCTGATGATATAATGAAGATTAACAAACAGATCATTTATGCTAGATTAACTGGATTTGGACAAAAAGGTCTTTATGCAGATATGGCAGGTCATGATATTAATTTTGTAGGTTTATCAGGTACTAATATTATTTTTTACATGTATAAATAAAAAAAAAAATAGAAGGATCGCCTTCAGGATTTGGTATTTGCAGCAACGAACTTTCGAGTTCCCAACACCAATTATAATAATAAATATTAACACTTTTTATTTTATAAAGTTATCATTTATTGTTTTATTAACAAATCTACAAATTTTCATTTAGGTTTACTTTCTTTATTTGGTCGTGCTAATGAGAAGCCAACACCTCCTATCAATCTGGCTTCTGATTTTGGTGGTGGCGGTTTAATGTGTGCATTAGGTATCATTTTAGCACTTTTTGAACGTAGCCGTAGTAATTTAGGCCAGGTTGTAGATGCTTCTATGGTAGAAGGTACAGCGTATTTAGGAAGTTGGTTCTTTAGGTCTCAACAGTTACCTTGGTTATGGAGTAATCCACGTGGACAGAATTTGTGAGGATACTAATCTTTCTTTTTTCTATTTTATTATGTGAATGTGATTTGTTAATAGTAATTAAAATATGTTCTTGCAGATTAGATACAGGCACACATTTTTACAATACTTATGAAACAAAGGATAAACGTTATATGGCCGTTGGTGCTATAGAAAACAAATTCTACAGTAATTTGTTAGAGAAACTTGGTTTATCTGAAGATGAAGTACCACAATTTTCCAATTTTGATAAAAATCATGCATTGTTTGTTGATTTATTTAAGAAAAAAACCCAGGCTGAATGGTGTGCTATTTTTGATGGCGTAGATGCTTGTGTAACACCAATTTTAAACTTAAAAGACACACCGTATCATCCACACAATGAAGAAAATGAAACGTTTAAAGTTACAAAAAATAATTTAGTAATACCAAACCCTGCACCACGATTATCTCGTACACCTGGTATCTCAATGGCAACTTGTAAAAATCCAGAACGAGGAGAACATAGCATTGCCATTCTTAATGAATTAGGTTACGATTCTAAAGAAATAGACAATTTTGTAAATAATGGTATAGTTATACAAGCTAAATCTAATAGCAAATTATAAAACTATCCTATAATTATAAAGAAACAAATTCAAATAATATTAACAAATAATTGGGGGAGGGAAAACATATATTATATTATATGTGTATATATAATAGTAATAATATATTTTAATAAATAAATTCTGATATTTTTTAAATTAAAAAATTGATTACATATTTCAAATTTAGTAATAATTAATGTTCCTTTTTATATCATACATTTACTAAGTTGTTCATTATATATAATAATCTAACCAACGTAACCTAAAAAGAACAAAATTAATTATTACTAAACTCAACCAGATCTTCTATGCTGTCCATTACGCATTTTTTACAATAGGCATTAATTGTATTTGATTTTTTCGTATGACTGTGTATGAGGATCGATGAATATTATTGGTTTTAAATATTTACATACATGTAAAAATTTTAAAAATCTTGTTTATGCAACGAAATGATTTAAGTTTTTCATTTATATATATAATAATTACTACGATTCTGAATAAATTTTCTATTGAAGTAATTTTTTATAATAACAAATATTGTCTTATACGGATCAATTGACATTATTTGTATTCGTATTAATTTTGTATGGTATCCAATTAAATTTCAGTTGTCATGATTTGTGGCACTAACCTAAAATAAATGACGTACGAATGTACGTTTTTTCTTTGACATATTTGTGTTTCTTAAGAATATGTATATCATTTAAAAACAAAATGCGAATAGATCTTATTTAATTTTCAAAAATATATAATAGAAATATATAAAACAATCCATAATGAAATATAAGATACAATAATATATGAAAAATAAACAATTATAATGTCTATATTGCAGGTTACTATAAATAGATTGTTGGAAAGAAATTGTAAATTTTGTTGTATTTAATTATATAAAAAAATGTTGAGGAGAAGGCACGTTAACATTAAGACTGTGAAAGAACTTGATGCATTTCCTAAAGTACCTGAACCATATGTAGATAAAACTGCAGTTGGTGGGACTTGTAAGTACACTTGAATAATGTTTTTAAAGTTTAAAATAAGTTGTGAGATAAAAGATGTTTAATATTGTATGTGTATTTCTTTTTATCTATGTTTCAGTTTCTATTTTTACATTTTGTATTATAGCTTATTTAATAATAGCAGAAACAAGTTATTTCCTTGATAGTAGATTACAATTCAAATTTGAACCAGATACAGATTTTGATGCTAAATTAATAATTAATATTGATATAACTGTGGCGATGCCATGTAGTCGTATAGGAGCAGATATTTTAGATTCTACGAATCAGAATTTAGTAGGTTTTGATACTTTAGAAGAAGAAGATACTTGGTGGGAGTTGAGTCCAGAGCAAAGATCACATTTTGAAGCTTTGAAATATATGAATTCATATTTAAGAGAAGAATATCATGCAATCCATGAATTACTTTGGAAATCTAATCAAATTACATTGCGCAGTGAAATGCCAAAAAGGTTTACATATCTTTTTAAGCGATTATATAGTATACTTTACTTTGCAATAATCATTTATACAGATTCATTTTATATGTAAAATTACTTGATTTAGAACTCACGAACCATCATATAAGCCAGATGCCTGTCGAATTCATGGTAGTATAAATGCGAATAAAGTAGCAGGAAACTTTCACATAACTGCTGGGAAATCTTTACCTCTTCCAAGAGATCACATACATATTTCTGCATTTATGACTAGTAAAGATTACAATTTTACTCATAGAATTAATAAGTTTTCTTTCGGAGGGCCTAGTCCTGGTATTGTACATCCTCTTGAAGGAGATGAAAAAATTGCTGACAATAGTAAATTAAAATTCAATTTATTAATATTATAAATTAAATTACTTTATTTATTTGTTATTATTAATAATTTATTTATATTTTAGATATGATGCTATATCAGTATTTCGTGGAAGTAGTTCCTACTGATATAAGAACTTTATTAAATACATTTAAAACATATCAATATAGCGTAAAAGATCATCAAAGACCTATCGATCATTTAAAAGGATCTCATGGAATACCTGGCATATTTTTCAAATATGATATGAGCGCCTTAAAAATAAAAATTACTCACCAACGTGATACTATAGCACAATTTTTAGTAAAATTATGTGCCACAGTTGGAGGTATATTTGTTACAAGTGGTAAGTATGTGTATATTATATAAGTTTGCATATTATTTAATACAAAATAATTAGACTTTATAAATGTTGAAAACATTTATAGGTTTGATAAAAAATATTATACAAAGTTTTTGGTATATCATGGCTTGCAAACTTTTCCAACATGAGCCTGATATAAATAACCAAAGAGCATCTGTTTATTCTGTCTCAAGAAATTATGAAAGTCCGCAAACTATAAATTTACTTCAAGTTTCAGCACCCGATAATATTGATATTATGTTAAAACCTCAGGGAAACAATTATATAAATTGATTTCACTAAACTTTGACCTCCATTATGGTTTTAATATGCTGCAATAATTTCTGCTAGATACCTAACATATTTGTTAAATTTAGTAAATATTGTGATATAATTAATACATTCAAGTTTGACGCAATTTTACGTCATTTCAAAATGTGTAGCAAAAAGTTAGTAATGTTATCCTACACAATGAAATATTAAATTTTAATTATTAATTTATTTTTTCAATTTTGTTTGATTATTAAAGTATTTATTTTTATTGTATTTGTTCGTGGAACTTGTTAAATTTGAGTATTATTTTTTAATTTAAGAAAATGTATATTTTAAGTTATTATTATATACGCGGTATCCAACTAAACGTCTTGCAAATGCCGCAAATTCACATTTAATTGCAAATATAAATCTAATATAAATAATTTAGTTGTGTATAATTTTTCTCACATGTAATTTAATTTTGAATTTGATCATTTAGCTAAACTAAAATAAGAAGTTTATGCAACTGAGAGAGTTATACTTAATGTTATGATAGAACGAATTAGAAATGCAGTTCTAGCTCTTTTGCAATAGCTCTTTTAACAATTTTTTACTTTCAAATTTTTTAATGCGATTGTAATCATATTGTTTGGAAAAAATTTTCTATATTCTTTACAGCAATATTGCTAATATCCATTTGAAATTATGGAGTTCTTTATGTTTAAATCAAATATAAATACAAGAAATAGGAAATTTTTTTTCAAATAAATTATACTCAGATTACAGGATTTATAGGTAAAATATAATTATCACATCAATATAAATGAATGATTAAATATCATAAAAAACACAAATAATTCATATTATAATTCATACTTTTAATTTATTTTAATAAATTTCTCATTATAGACGTTGATGTATTTTTATGTTCTTTATTAAAGAAAGGTTGATAGTAAATTTAAATAATAAAAGAATTTGTATCCTATTACAGATTGAATATTGTTAATTTTTTTTAGTTACAAAAGTGAAAATATATTATACATACATATCTATATATGTTTCTTATTTAATTCTATCCTTATCAGTGGAATATATTTCGATATTAGCAACTACAAATATATAATTTCATGTTTACAAAAAGAAAAAAAAAACAAAAAAGAAAAGAAACGTTGTCAACTAGCAATAAATTATATAATATTACAAAAAAAATTATTCCTTTTATTTTAATTATATTAAATATATTGTTTAATTTAATTTATAATTTATTGAATATGAGAATTCACAGTCATAAAATTTATATTTTATATACATAATAAATAATGTATAATTTATTTTATTATATTTTTTGGCTTCTTTAATAGTCAAAATAGTATAAAATTGCACAAGAATTCATAATTAATTAAATATATATATATTTTTTTTCCTGAGGTTTGTTAACCCGGGCGCTCAGTCTCTGGACCATTGTACCTGGGCCCCTTGCGGGGAAAAACCTATGACCGTACCGGTCCCGCGGGTAGCCCCGACTCCCTTGTAAAGCACAGCAGTCTGGCCGCCCCTGAGCCCACTAGGTCGAAGTTGTTGGCGGTGGTCCCAAGGACATCATTTTTGACGTCCGTGAGCCCAACGCATTGAGTTATGAGATGGAGGGGAGTATCNTGACGTCCGTGAGCCCAACGCATTGAGTTATGAGATGGAGGGGAGTATCCTCCCCTTCGCCGCACCTGCCGCAGACCGAGTCTTGTGCAAGGCCCAGTCGCGTAAGGTGCTTTCCAAAGTGCCAGTGCTCGGTGACCAATCCCACAACCAGCCTCAATTGGGCTCGGTCTAGGTTGATCAACTCGGTACCTAGCTTCTCCGAGGGCCCTGAGAACAGAGCCTTCGTGTGCCTCATGCCAAGGCCTTGCATCCAGAGATCCCTGAAGCGGTCCGTGGCCCACTTCTTAGTCCTCTTCCGCATAAGCCCCCATGACACGCTGATGTGGCACCGATTTGCCGGATCGTGCCGTGAAGCTCCAAGTCTGGCAAGCTCGTGCGCCCTTTCGTTGCCCTGAACGCCACTGTGACCCAGCACCCAGAGCAACTTTACTCTGTTGACATTGCCTAGCCGTGTCAACAAGTCGACACAGTCCTTCACCAGCCCTGACTTGACCACGGTGCTGTGTACAAGTCTGAGTGCAGTGTGGCTGTCACTACAGATGTAGATATGTTTGCCATAGTACCCCCTTTCCAGGATACTGTGGGCATAGACCCGAATGGCAAACAGCTCCATCTGGAGAACAGAGGCGGTACCGGTTAGGGTGTAGGACAGCTCAGTCCTAGGCCCTCCAGACCAGACCCCTGCTCCCGCGTTGGAACCCGCTTTAGCCCCATTTGTATACCAGACGGGCCCCGCGGGTGCCAATAAATGATTTGGGTCCGCTGCCCATGACTGTCTGTCTGGGAAGAGGACCTCATAGTTGTGCTGGAAATTAATTATATTTGATAAGAAAGATAATTTAGAGATGACGCTTTAGTTTTTACACAGACAATCGAAAAAAATAAAAATTAACCAATCAGCTTGCAGGATATGAACGTTATTTTTATATTGAAAGAACTGTTAGAAACATTGAGATCGTTTGAAACAAAATAACGATTCAATGTCCAGCTTGAACGGGTCGTAAATGCAGTTGTTTCACCTATTCGTGAATATTTTTATTGCACATTATTCACAACTTTTTTAGTTCTTCTTAGATTTTTACTATAATAGTTTTTTATTTTATAGAATAATCCCGTTTCAGGCTGGACTTTGAATACGGAATGTAACAAGATGCTGATATTCCCAAGGTATCGAGGTAAGCGCCAAATCATTTTCGCCGTCTTATTGTTACGATATAATCGTTGTCCTACTCTTTTCTCCTCCTTTCTTTTATTTTGTCAACAACGGTAACCAAAGAACGATTTTTACCTAATGGTTTCCTCATGAATGGATGACTAAAAATAATTTGCGGCTTATAATCGGGTTTTACTTTCCAAATTTGCGCTGCCACCGGCGAGATTCATGCTGGAGACAAAAAGTCACATGTACGTGACAGCGGTTGATAACGGTTAGCATAAAAAAGTCACGTATATGTGACAGACAGCGGCCGGCAAAGTGTTAACATTATGTACTGTTCTTTAAAGTGTCCACATATGAAAATACAAATAAAACATATAAATACGCAGTTATATATGCATATGCATGTATTAGGGGTACCGAAAAGTAATCAAAAATTTTTTTTGCTAGCGAAGTAATATTATAATTAAAAATAATTTCCATCATTGTTTAACACTGTCTGCCAGAAATAAGGCAGTTGTTCGATTTTATTTTTAAAAAAGGATACCGATAGCTCATTGAAATACTTTTCCAAGATAGTTTTCATTTCTCCAACATTGTTAATTTTTTCATATTTAAATCTTTCGTATAACGATTTAAGAAAGTAAGTCGACAGCAAGAGATCTGGTGAATAGGGTGGATGAGATAAAAGTTCCAATTCAAGCTCCGTTATTTTTTCCTGTATTATTTTTGAAGCGTTTCGCCCCGTGTTATCTTGTTGAAGGATCCTGTTTTTTCCATTAACCAAAACAGATCTTTTTTTTATTAACTCTTGTTTCATTCGCTCGAGTTGTTCACAATACATTGTCGCTGTAACGGTCTTATCAGTTTCAAGTAATTTATAGTGTATGATTCCAAAAGAATCCCACCACACACAAACAAGTATCTTCTGTATTTTTAGTGATGTTTCAGGACTCGGAACAGGTGCTTCTCTGGAAGAAAGCAATTGTTTTTCTTGTACAGAATTATTGTAAGTCATTCACCTCTCATCTCGAATTACTATTCGTGACAAAAACGGATCGTCTTCATACCGAGACAAAAGAGTCGCGCAGATGGTACGCCGTTGGGCGAGCACCGTATCCATCTATTCTTTAGGAACCCAAATTCCTTTCCTTCTTCCTATGCGATCAAGATCATTTTCAACTGTATTCTGTGAACAGCCAATCTTCAATGATAATTCCTCAGGTGTTTGACGAGGATCTGAATCCACCAACTCCTTCAATAACTCCAACATATCATCTTCTTTTATTTGTGGGGTATCTTTAAGATTCCTATTTCCACTTCTAAACTTGCAAAACCATGTATAACATTTGTGTAGTGTCAAAACGTCCCCGTAAATTTTATTAATTTCTTTCACTGCTTCGGGATATTCAACTCCTTTATCAAAAAAAAAAATAGCATACTATGACGTAATTGTGCTTTGCTTATTGTTGGCCTTGACATATTTCCTCCTTGGTAAAACAAAAATTTTTTAACCGAAAATTAGAATTTACAACAAAGAGAGATTGAACGTAATAACAACATTTCCGTGTTTACAGAACCGTGTCTTGACACAAACAAAATCTAAATGACCTCATCGAAGAAATTTTTATTACATTTGATCCCCCTAATACATGTAAATATAAAGATAGATACTCCTGTAAATTTAAATTTTTTATGTAAAAGTTAACAAAAACTAAATCAATCTAGTTTAGCTTTAAACTAACGTTATTTCAAATATTAACATTGTTACATCTATGAAATATTGTAAATAAAACTTGTATGGATCATATTCGAAAAATAAACAGTAATTTATAAAACCTGTTTGAATTGTTTTTTTTTTTACAGCTTTATTAACAGTTTAACGCATAGTTTTTTGAAAAAACCGGCCAAAAAAATCAATTTTTTTTATGTAAAAGAATACACGTTAGAACATTGCCTTCGCAAAAAAATTAAATAAATACAAAATTAATTAAAATTTTTATAGCAGCATAGAATAAAACGTCGTTCGAGTTAACTCTAGCAGGGTTAACTTAAGGGTTTAAACTAGCATTGTAGTTTTTTCGAAATCTCTTGCTTTTTCATTTATAATATTATCATCATAAGTATTTGAGAGCATTCGATGAGTCTAAGCAGCAGATTTATTCATATTGTTTATTGTATAACACCTACGATCTATTTTTTTCGACTACTTCTTACTGTTAAAGCCACCTGTAAAAAAAAGACGGAAACGAGTTATGGCCGACTCATCAACGGAGGTAGAAAATAAAATTTGTTTATAACAAAACAGTAAATATATTTGTATTAATTACAAATATTTTACAATAGTTTATATGTTTGGAAAATAACATAGATATGACGAAATGAAAAAAAAAACGTCATGATATGGCGAAGCGTGTTCATATTTCGGTCGATAAGGTAGATTTTGATAAAATAATTTAAAATTTACCCTGAAGCTACTGTGGCGCCACCCTAATTGAATGCATTTCGACGGACACTTTTCATGTACAGAGATGTTACTCCTTACCTCTACCCTCCATATTTGAAATGTATACAATCGATAAATCGAGTCAGTCGATTAAAGCGATTATTTTCGATATTTAAGTTTATAGCCGGGTTGCCACGCCTGCATGTGAGCAGTGGACGTATGATTTGCGTCCTGTCAAATTAAAAGTAGTAGGAATAAGGAGCTGTTACTTTGCAATGCAAAGTGTACTTTATATTATTAAAACATGGGTTTTTTGGAGGATACTTTTGTGATCCTTATTACACAGGTGGAAACCCATTTATAGTTCTAATGAACCATTGACATTGCATTATGAAAAAAGAGGGTTAAGTTGCATATATGTAGTAATCAGTCAACACATTGTTTTATTTTGAAAGTTGAATTATTCATTTTCTAAAAGTTTTATGCTACAAATGATAGAAAAACAATAATTTATTATTAAACAATTTAAAAAATATTTATTGAAATATGAATATATACTTAAGTATGAAGACATTTATGTTATGTTTGGTCTCACGTCTACCTCTATCTTTTTTTCAAAATACTTTTAAACCGTGTAAATATCTATGAATATTGTACATTGATAAGTGTTATTTAATCATATTAAAGTAATTTTACATTTATATTTCATATATTTTTCATTGTAATGATAAGTATATTATTACAATAAATATACTATGGCATGATATTTTCGTATTTTCTTTTATTATTCAATAAATTTTGGTGTAATTCAAACATTCATTGTCAAAATCTTGATTATTATTGTACTCGTATCATATCCAATATTTCTGATTGTTTATATTGCAGATAATATTTTTCTTGGGAGGATGGATATTTTTTGTAAAAAAATTATTTCGTGATTATGAAGTACACCACAGATTAGTACAGTTAATATTTTCCACAACATTTTCTTTATCATGTACTATGTTTGAACTTATAATTTTTGAAATAATCCGAGTTCTTGATTCAAGGTAAGAAAATGTTAATATAATAGTTAAAATAAATAAAAAAGAAAGACATTGTTAAACGTAATTATTTATCATCAGTTCTAGATATTTTCATTGGAATGTTGGACTATATATGCTTTTATTTATGGTAATAGTTCTTATACCATTTTACATAGCATATTTTATTATCAGTAACATTAGATTTGGTATGTACTTTTTCTTCTATACACTTAAGTTATTTATATTTTCTTTAATTAATATCTATTTAATTTTTTGTGTAGTAAGACTGAATTGGATAAGGCCACTTACAATCATAGTATATCTTTTTTATCTCTACTTATTTTGGAAAATTGGTGACCCTTTTCCAATATTGAGTCCAAAGAAAGGATTGTTATCAATAGAGCAAGGTGTAAGCCGAATAGGCGTTATAGGAGTTACTGTCATGGCACTATTGTCTGGTTTCGGTGCTGTAAATTATCCATATTCCTCTATGGCCTATTTTATGCGGCCTGTGTCTTATGCTGACGTACAAGCTATAGAAAGACGATTGCTACAAACAATGGATATGATCATAGCTAAGAAAAAAAGGATAGCACTTGCTAAAAAAGGTGAAGTGGTTGGACAAAGTGAAGCTCGTTCACGACTTTGGGGAATGTTGGGTCCCTTAGGTGGTACAAAAGGGAATCAAGAAAGTGTGTATTGTATTAACATTTTATAATAAATCAAATGACACATATGATTAATAACATTTAATATTTACTGTGTTAATTTTCAGCTATAAAACAATTACAAATAGAAGTTATAGCATTAGAAGAATTATGTAGACAATTATTTCTAGAAGCACACGATATTCAAAATGCTAGAGAACGTTTAGAATGGGCAGCTACGTGGCAAGGAAAATATTTTAATTTCCTTGGCTACTTTTTTTCGATATATTGCATTTGGAAAATATTTATAGTTAGTATATACTTCAACATCAACAAAATTGCAAACAATATATTATTAGATAAACGATGAAATATTAAATTACATTTTGTTTTGCAGTCCACCATTAATATAGTCTTTGATCGCGTTGGTAAAAAAGACCCCGTTACCAGAGGAATTGAAATTGCTGTTCATTGGATGGGTTTTGATATAGATGTTACATTTTGGTCACAACATATATCCTTCTATTTAGTTGGATGCATCGTTTTGACTTCCATCCGTGGATTGTTGTTAACTCTTACGAAGGTACGATATTAATTTCACAATACATATTATTAAATATGTACAATTATTCAATCAATTTATGTCAATTAATCTTTTTATTTATATAATTTTTAAGAATATTAGTTCCTTATTGTAGTATCAATTGATTTTCACATTTAACTGATTGACTAATATATGCAAAACTGTATATTATTTGAGTAAAAGTGAAGAACATGATTTACAATTTATGATATACGACTAACTGTTTATTATCAGTCTTCATAACAAAAACGCTTACCACAAATGTAATTTCATGTTCATATTTCAGTTCTTCTATGCTATATCAAGCAGCAAATCCTCAAATATTATTGTACTTATACTTGCACAAATAATGGTAAGATTTGTTCTTTTCTTTGTTTCTCTATATGACTTTTTCTTACAATTGTTTTGTTGCAATGTAGTTTATGTAATTTTATATTCCTCTATTCTAGGGAATGTATTTTGTGTCCTCTGTATTACTTATGCGCATGAATATGCCTGCTGAATACAGAATAATTATAACACAAGTTTTGGGTGAACTTCAGTTTAATTTCTATCACAGATGGTTTGATGTCATTTTTTTGGTATCTGCGTTATCATCTATAGTGTTTTTGTATTTAGCTCATAAGCAAGCACCGACAGAACGAACATAACTATTAAATAAATGATTTTTGTAAATTAAATATAATTTATATTGTAATTTTGCATTTCACAAAAAAAAATCTTCAATTGTACATAAATTGTTATATTTTTCATTAAATAATAATTCACATTATTTCATTAACATTTATTTATTTTTCTAAAAAACTTCATGCATGCGATACAAAGAAAAATACCACATACATAATATTAATTTATGCTGCTTGATTGCATAGTGTTATGTCACACAAAAAAATTTGTTCAGGTAACAAATGCATTTTTTCTATTATAACAACTAAATTGCATTTGTATTTACTTTAACATACATTACTTTCTGGATCACAGATGGCTGAAGGATTGATATTACCATGAAAAAATTGATTTTGCTGTATAATTTCTGATTTGATATGAGAATAACCATTGGTTTAACGAATTAATTCAATAGTCCACTCTTCGCTCATATTTACACCTGGCTTACGCAATGTTAGTACATTGTTATTGGGATTATATTTAGTTTCTAATGTTATTGTTCTTGAACCTGTAATAAAATGAAGAAACGATAATTATCTTTCTTTTTGACTTTTTAATTAATTCAATCTAGATTTTAATACTTACTGCGCGATACAAGCTGAGCAGATTTAATTCCTTTAGGAGGATTTGCTATGTCTACTCTTTCCAACCAGCTTTTAGTTTCATACGAAGCTAACTTATCAATAAATGTTGAAGTTAATTTAGTTCCATCAAAGTTGAGTTTTAGATAAAGGTACTTTCCATGACGATATTCAAAGCTGCTTTCATCATCAATATACAGATTACCACTGGCATTGCCATTACTATCAGCAATAACAATTAAAGTATACGGATCATTTCTCATTGCAACTGTGCTACGACGTATTCTCATTTTACGCGGAATGATGGAACCACTTCTTTGGAATACAGGGATCTTGTGAATAGTTACTTGAATATTGTGTGATCCAGCTTGGGTATATGGTTGCATGGTATCGATATCGTACCAGGTCACCTTACCTTCCCCTGGGAAGTATACAGTAACTTCTGTAGCAGAAGGTTGAAATACTGGGCGTACAAGAATGGAATCTCCAACGAGTATATGATCGTCGATTGTATAAGTTTGTGTTTCCGTTGGATAATGTGCCCATAATGGTAGTATTACAGGTGTGCCTTTTATTTCATGTTCTCTAAACAATGTATACCATAATGGCAAGTAGGAATATCTAACTCTAAATGATTCCCTTACTATTTGTGTAGTTTCATCATTAAATGTCCATGGTTCACGTCTTTTTGTCTCGATGTGTGAATGTTGACGGAAGAAAGGTAGCCAAGCTCCAGCTTGATTCCATCTAATAAATAGTTCTCTATCTGGATTTTTAAAGAATCCACCAACATCGGCTCCACAGAATGACATGCCAGAAACAGCTGCAGAAAGACACATTGGATAACTTATACGAAGATTTTCCCAATCTCCCATATTATCACCAGTCCACATTGCTGCATAACGTTGTGATCCAGCAAAGAAAGATCTTGTTAAAATGAAAGGTCTTAAGGATCCTCCTGATCTTCTAAAAAGAGCTTCATAAGTGGAAAGTGTATAAACAAGACCATTGATATTATGAACATCTCTATGTTCCCAGCCACCATAATGTAGAACATCTTTAGGTAAAGTTACTTCTGGACCATTAAAAACACTCGGTTCATTCATGTCATTCCAGATATGTACATTGTTTGTAGTACCATGAAATTTATCTAAACTGTATTGACCAATATAATATTCTCGAACTTTTGGATCAAAGAAATCTAAATATGATGATGACCCTGGCCAGCACCAACCTTCATAATCTTTTCCATCTTTAGTTTTAATATAATATCCCATACTAGTAGCATCATTATGTAAGAAATAATTTGGATCTCTTTTGATGTGTGGATCAATAATGACAACTAATTTTCTTCCTTTATCCGTTAAATTTTGAACCATTTCAAGAGGATTTGGAAATTTACGTGGATCCCATGTAAAATATTTTTTATTATCTGTATATTCGATATCAAGCCACATTGTATCCATTGGGACATCGTGCTCATCGAAGCCATTGGCAATTTGAGCTACATCATCTTGATCATTATAATTCCAACGTGATTGATGATAGCCCAATGCAAACATCTGCAAAGTAAATTAGTAGTTGAATTACTTTAATAGAAAACATAAATATATAGACAATTAGCGTTTGCATTTTAATATACGTAAATAATATATACCTGCGGTAAGGGTGCTGTACCAGTTAAAACAGTGAATTGTCTAAATACATCCAAAGGTTTAGGTCCTAACATGAAGAATACATCAATAATTCCAGATTCTGACATAAAGTGAACATCAACTTGAGATTTTTTAGAACCCGAAACAAAATTAACCAAACTTTCTACAACATTATTGTCAGCACTCGATAAAACATCAATCCATGTTTCTGCTGCATTATGCCAAAAGATACCTGCTGTTTTGTCTTTACTATAAAATAAAATGTTAAGTTTGTGTGTATTGTATATTATATCTATTTGAATTTTGAAAATAATTACACGTACCCATGAGCATAAAGAACTGGAATTGCTCCATATAATGACATTCGTTCATTTACCTCATATTCAAATACGTCTAAATTATATAGCCTATATGGTTCTAGTTGTTTAGTAGATTTTAAAGCAAAAGAATCTGCATGTTCCGGTATACCATAAGCTTGTTCTGCTCCTGGAAAACTAAAGTCTAAAGCTACTGCTTCTGGTCCATAAGGTTTAGAGTCATGATGATTTTTAAAATTTTCTTCCCAAGCACCAGGGTCGCTGTCAGCACCGTCACCAGGAAATTGTTGCGATTGCTGTTTATCTTCAGTTTGAATATTTTCTCCTTTCTCTTCTTGATCTGATTTACTAAAGAAACCAATGAAAGATTATATTTTCGTATCTCTTTTTTTCATTGAAATAATCCATATTCTTTTCATACGATGTACCTTTCGGGTTTATTTCGAAGATGCTCAAATCTCATTAGACCACGAGCATTAGCTGAAATGACTAATGCATCTTGATAATATAAATCTACTCTAAAAGGATTGATATTTAAAACAGCTTTGTTCTTTCCATTGGTAACAGATATGTGTTCTGCAGTTTTTTCAACGCTATCCACCGTCGAAGTTTGTGGTTGATCTTGCAAAGAATGTTCAACTTCATATCGTGGATGCAATGGATTTTTTTCATTAATGTGAAGCCTAAATGTATGATCTTTAAGTACGGTAAGTTTTAAAAGATAATATACACCAGTATCTCTATTAAATAGATCTACTGTTAGCGTTGATTCATTGTGTGCAACTGTATTCGGTTCTAATTGATACGGAGTTTTTCCTGGTTCAACTTTTTTGCAACGTCTATAAGGACAAATAAAATATTTATCAAAATATCAAAATATCAAAAGAAAGAACAGAAAATATATAATAATAATAATTATAATAATATAATCAAAGGTTAAATTAAATATTAATATTTACCGGCAGAAACTGCTTTGTCCGCATGTTTTAAAAGTATCTCTATTGACTGCATTAATAATAAATGGGCAAAGAGCTAGCACAAAAAATATTCCCAGCCTGAAATAAAAAATAATTTCAAATTAATGTAATCTCATGAATTGTTGTTAAACTTAACCTATTTTAAGAAAGAAAGAAAGAAAACATTCGTAACTTTACATATTCGTTTTGAAGTACTATCCTTGTCTTTGTAGAAATAAACAAGAAAAAAGATAAAAAAAGGAAAGAAAGAAAAAAAAACTTAACTACGACATTATCGCCATAATTAAAGTGCTCGAAGAAGTAACGTTAGTACTTTCGATTATTATCGAATGCATAAAGATAATGTACGAATAATATTAAATGTTATCCTTTTTTTTCCATTATATAAAATGTCGAATTTAACAATAACCGGCATGTAGAAATAAAGTAATTAATAACGAGAAATAAATATGAATGACACGTCAGCGTGATCATTGTTACGTTATACCAATTGTGTTAAATAAAATTGTTTAAATAAAAGTAACAATTTAATCGATATTTAATGGTCCTATTTCGAATTGATTTATCTAATAAAATTTTCTTTTATCGTAGACGAATCGATAAGCTTTTATGTGAAGGTTAAATGGCTAAAAAATAATCAACTCACCGCACAAACGAAGCCATGTTGAAAAGTACCGAGCTTCTGTCATGCCACCTTACATTTAACTGGATACGAATTTAGGAACGAAATCGATTTTATAGATGGCGCGTCATTTGCTCTTACGGTGTATTTATCGAATGAGTTTTAATTTTATATAAAAACAAATATGTATATATATATATATAAATCCAATTTTTCCAATATTATTCTTTCCTATTTTTTATCGTTATCATATAAAAAAACAAATAAAATGACGTCATATAACGAGACGTAACAACTTATACGCACATATATACATATGTATATATATATCTATATATATCTATATATATCTATATATCTATATATATGCGTATTTACTATCATGTAATAATTAACATCGCACATTCATTTTATTAGAATTACAAGAATTATGCATTCAGTCAGCAGGGAAAATACATTTCTATGAATAAACTATTTATATATTACAAGATTTAATATAGAAGTTTGGCACTCGGATCGGTTCACTTGTTGGATGTAAAAAAAGCCTAACTGTTTTCCATTTACATATTATAGCATATTCATTAAATTCTTATTCTTATCGGATGATTCTCGATAGAAATGATGTTATTGTATATGCTAATAAATTAGCAAAAACAGTATTCGCCACGTAAATACATATTACGATAATGATTAAGATATAATCATTAATTTCTATTATTAACATTCACATTAGAGCATCTTACGAATCGTACAATCATCCCTAAGGGTCCATTATCAAAGTCGTCGTTTAATTAAGGTCACCGTCAAATTCGTCTGAAGGCCTGCCAACGTAATGTTTTAATTCTTCGAATAAAAACACATACGATATTAGCTTCTTAATTTCCGATTAACATTGATAAATTTATGATATTATATAATATAATACTGAAATACGCATAAGATTCATTTTAACTTTCTATATCATTCATTATTTTTTTTATCTTACTGGATAAGATTTTTATGTATACGTAAACAGAACGTAATTTAACACATTCTTCCTTCTTATAATCAGTTTAATTTTACAAATCATTATAAATTTAAGATTTATCAACTATAATTTTCGTAGTACGATAAATAAATAATTCATGGTATCATCTAATTGATAATAGACCTAATCTGTATTGAATTTCTACGAAAAATCATCATTATAGTAATCACAAAATTTTTTCTTTTCTATTTATTATTATTACTATTATTATTATTATTATTATTATTATTATTATTATTATTATTATTATTATTATTATTATTATTATTANATTATTATTATTATTATTATTATTATTATTATTATTATTATTATTATTATTATTATTATTATTATTATTATTATTATTTCTTTTTAAGATTATAAATACTGTTTTCTATTTTCCGAATGATGAAACGCAAGTAAAAAATTTGAATTTACAAAATAGTGCAGTGTGTAAAAGATATGTGCATAACGCGAGATTTTGAAGATTCTCTCATGTCCCAAGGTACGTCGTATAATTTTACGGGTTCACAAAATTTTTTCAGAGTAGCCTGCAAATAGGTCCGTCTAGTTTTCAAAATGGACGACGGATAATACATATTTTACATGCGTTTTTTTGTCTTATCTCTCTCTCTCTCTCTCTTTCTCTCTTTTTCTTTCACTCTCTCTCTCTCTCTCTCTCTCTCACATGGTATATTTATTTTTATGTACACGTATTGCGAACAATAACATCCTAATAAATCTCGGTGTAGTTGTCAGTCTTCGATAATAATTTGGCCCTCGTATCCCAACAATTCGCCAAACTGATACACAGAGTTCTTTAAGTACATTACGTATATTTTCTCTTCTGCGACGAATAAAATCTTCTGTGTCAATCTCGTTCGATGTCTCTATGTATTATATATTACATTTAAAAAGATCTCATCGAAGATGTAAAGAAACAAATGACAAAGTTTGTCGGTGTTCAAATCGGATAATGGCCGAGGTAGACGGGGATGATTCAAAGTAGCGACGATAAGTAAGGCCGTAGATCTTTGCATGAAACTTTTCCTTTGACCGAAGGCATATATTAGCAAAAGTGTATTTAGATTTACTAATAGGTTTCGGTAAAAAGTCGATTTCTCATTTAGGCACATCGAGTCCTTCGTAGTGACAAATATATGTAATCACGGACGACAATAGGGTCTTTTTTCTTAGGCAAAACATAAGATAGATGAGATATAGTCCGTTTTGTCGTATCTATCGTAATTAGAGCTATATACGCAACCTATTACATACATACATACTCGTACTGCCATTAGGAAAGTTTCACATGTTAATTATCGATTTAAAAGAAGAGAGAATATCTTCATTTTTACATATCCATTATGTGTTATGTATATCAGTATATGTATATACACGGTATTATTGAGTAACTTTCCTTTTAGGCACGCTGAGACAATAATATGGAATAATCATCCCGACATTTGTAACAAAGACAGTCTTCTAAGCGAGTATTTGGAAGCGCTACAGCTTGTTTCGTTTACGGCCCGAAGGCAACTCCTCCTGCTAGACCCAATACTGGTTTCTCCTCAGTAAAGGATTGTTGGTTCTTTGTGTAGTGGCCGATTGACAGGGTAGGTCCGAAGTATCAAAGCTACTCCACTCGTCACCATCCGCAACCCCATAAGGATACCTCGCAGATACGTCTACTTCTGAACCTGTTATACTTTCCAGAGGGTTCAGAGGTATTACTTTGCATTGTGGTAAAGTTGAAGTCATGCTTGGTAAAACTGGTAGTGGTGTGCTGGATGTTATTGTTCCGTGTTCGTTAGCGAAACGTTTGAGATGAGGTGTTGTAGGCATCAGATGATCAGGTGGTCTTGGTAAAGGCATCACGCCAACCGAAGGGGTTGTCTCAGGCTTGTCTTCTTCGGTACGTTTGTATCGATTATGTCTACATCTGATCGTAATTATCACAACGATACTTAAGAGAAAAGCACCAAGTAACATGCCTAGAATGAGCAAATAATCGTTGCTCATGTTAGGCGCGATTGCCATTTCACCCTCGTGACCGATAGGGTCCATAGGACCTGCCAATGTACTGTTGTAATCGTCCATGTCGAATTTAACGCGTATATCAAATTCACCAGTTGCCGGCTGAAATATCGAAGCCGCTAGTATAAATGCGAAACTGTCGCTTAATCCTTCGTATTCCATACTTGGTATTTTTTTACAGACAAGATATATTACACCAGACACAATCTCTTGATGAGTAAATCTTCCGATCTCTCTTTCGCGCGTTCCCCTTTTTTCTCCCGATGTTGAAGAACTTCTGATGATTCTCTTGATCTTGCCGTATTTTGGTTTCCTGATAATGGTATAAACTGGATTGCTACTAGTGAGTTTTGCCAAAGGTGTTGCATCCATATGTTGCAAAGTTATCTGATTTTTCTCTCCCATCAATGCTATCATTGGATTCGTTATCATCAAGGGAACCACCCTGATCTTAACACGAATATGTTGTTGTTCAAAACCGCTTAAACGAGCTGATAACTCCAAACTATCATTGGAAACTGTCATGTCCGTTTGTAAAAACATCACACTCTCAGATAATAAGTCTGTCTGTTTAAAATTCGTAGCAGCAGCGTCCCTCACATAAAGCACACCATGCTTCGGATTGTTTGTAACTTCGTAGCTCACCAAATCCTGTCTTGCATTCGTGTCGAGTTTTACGTTTTCTTCCGATATTGATGCTACGTTCGAGCCTTGCTGCAACTTTACCGGGCTTGGTACCGTCACGTTCAAACGAATTGCTAGAACGTGGACGTTGAAAACCGTGTAGGTAGGATTGAAACGACCATCCCAGACTCTAAAATAAAAGGAGGCAGCTTGCAAAGGACCATTGTGCTCGTAAACCAACCTGTTTGAATCCACGTCGAGTTGTGAAAATTTATTCACTTGTTTTACTTCCGAACTGTTTTGATCGAAAGGTAAGAGTAATAATCTACCAAAAGTAGGTCCTGATATGACGTCATAAATGATCTCTTCAGCTGGAGTATCAGGATCGATCGTTAATAGATTATCTCGTGTAATAGTTTGATTTTGATTTTGAACGACAGTTATGTAAGGTGCGTTGGTAATGAGTTTGAATGGTTCGTCATTAATTGGTTCAATTATAACCGATATACTGGTATTACATAATAATACGTGTCCAGGTGTTAAATATAACGAAAAGAATATTCGATCTTCCAATGTATCCGAATGATCATGATAATATGCAATTTTTCCACCTTCGATTTGGGGTTGGGTGAAAGTGGTTACGTTGAGATCAGGGTGTAACATCACATGACCATGACTCGGTTGATTGACCAATCTTGACAATACAGCAGGTTTATTGATCCCAGCGTTAGTTTGAAGGAAACTTATTATTCCACTGATGTTCATGATAACTGGAGCAAAACCACCTTCTTCGACTCTGACAGTTTTAGTAGAAACGTATCTATCCAAGCCACCACTCGAGACAGAGATGTCTATGTAAAAAACCTAAAAGTAAATTCGATTAGATTAATATTTCATGTTATTCTTTTGGAAAGTACGTAGATAGAGCTTATTGTTTTTGTTGGCACCTGATTCGTTATAGATCCAGTATAATGGGCTTCGATATCGAACGTGAAAGAGTCATTGGCTGTTAAATCCATAAACCGTATTCTATGTTCATAAAAAACTTTGCTGTCGTTTATGTCTTTCTGCGTAAATCGATCGACTTCAAGCCATACACCTTCACCAGTTTCCATAATGATCTTTCCCAAGTGTGGACCGTTTCTAACACTGTATTTTATTTCTCTAGCTTTGTCTGAACATCTTATTAACAAAAGCTTGTTCGAAATAACTTTTCTTGTTAAGGGAAAGACATTTAACGGGACATTTTGTTCTACTGTTAATCGTACGGGCTTTGCCACAATCGATATATTATACGCTTCTGTCGTATGTATGCCGTCATTCAACACGAAACTAAATTCCGCTTCAGAACCATCTAAAAAGAATATTTACGATGAAAATAATTAATATTTATTGATTAAGATAGTATTATTAATATAATTATTAATACTTACTGCTATGTGTAAAAACTATTTTGGATTCGTCGATTTGTTGTTGAGTAAAATTATAAATCTCAACACCAGATCCTAGCATAGAAATGTATCCATTTTTCATACTGGTTACATTAAACGTTATCTCGCTTGGAACAGTGTCATTGTCTACGGCAGCCAAATAAGAAGGCATCAAGATAACTGAACCACCTTGCCAAACGTTCAATTTAGTTTTATTCACAAGGACAGGCACTTCATCGTTGATAGGTTGGATCATGATCCAAACGTCAAAGGGTTCACTGATCTTATCTCCAGCTATGACGACCATTTTGAAGGAATCTTTAGAAAACTCATCACCATTGTGCTTGTACAATATCATGCCACCATTTAAATGTTTTTGCGGAAATTTCTTCACTTGGGAATTTCTCGTAGAATCGATAACAACGCCATGCTTTGGTTTCTCAATTATTCGATAATCCGTTACCTTACCGGCATAATACGAAGTTATCACGATAAAATCAGTTTCATCGAGAATCACACTTTTACCTTCAATTACATTTAGATTCTTAGCCTCGACGTAGAGTTTATCGGGAACTATAATAAAGTTCACACTGAGACCATACATCCACATGATCCCATTGGTAACATCAACCACAAACTTATCATTCGTTTGATTCATCACAGATTGAACATAAAACAAACGACCCTCGTTTATGAGTGCTTGATCAAATTGTTTGACCCAATTACCAACATATTCCTCCTTACTTTCCTCAATGTGTTCATCGTGACTTTGAATTTCCAAATAACCATTCTGTGGCCAATCTCTTAGGAAATAAATTATCTCCGAAGATGAAATTTTCGGATGCATTATCTCTAAGCTTTTTCTATTTATCAAAAGACTCGTTGACTCCTCGACAAAGATCGTTTTGTTATTCAGAACTGTCATGGCTTCCCAATAACTCGCTGGGTAAACTTTGATCGTAAAGATGCCTTCGGTTTCAGCACCCTTAGCTGAAATTTTGAACTTAAAGTCGTCCTTATTCAACGACGAACCCAGGTGTCGATAGGATATTGAACCATGAATCAGATCTTCTCCGGTAAATGCGCTAGTCTCTTTCGTGTGTTTTAAAAGTATTCCGTATTTAGGTTTATCCCAGATGGTATATTTAACTTCTTTTTCAAGCATATAAACATTCGTCTCAATTTCTAATTCCTTTGATTGAAATACTACGCTTTTGTTAAACTGAACGATTGATCCATTACTTTCTTTCAATCTAATATATGGTGGACTTGCTTCGATTTCTAGGATACCATCAGTACGAAAATGGCCATCGCTGACGGTGTATTCGATTTTTTCACTATCATCACCGTAATGTCGGAAGAGTATTTTTTCGTCATCTATATTCTTTTGGGTAAATTCTCGAATCTGAATGGAGGGATCAGTTATTTTATATATACCGCTCTTTCCATTATCTTTACGCGTGTATTTGATATCACTTGGTTTAGTATTAATATCCTTATCGGTATAGGCAAGATCCTTGTTAGTAATTAATTTTTCACCCTTGGATACTACGTGAAAGGTTTTATGAACTGTCCGTTCTGGAGGATTGTCATTCTTCATGATAACTTCAATACGAAAACGTCCAACGTACATAAAATCTATGGGATCCAAGGCAATACCAATATATTCGAAGGAGTCTTCCCTTGTCTCGGAATCATCATGGATGTAATAAACGGATTGAGTGAGCAATTCTTCCGAAGTGAAGTAAACGGCGTTGCTTCGAATTAATGATTTCGTACGATTTTGTACAACCAGCAAACCATGACGTGGATTTATCGTGATATTATAGATCAAGGATGATACACCATAATCCATGGTATTAGTACGTATCATTTTTAAGGCTACTTTCGAGCCTTCTTCGATCTTCAAAGTCTCCGTTCCTTCAACGGCCTTGCTGTTCTTTGCCAAATGATGTTTTAAGGATAACGTTGAGAGTATGTCGATGCATTGTGGCGCACTTACCCTAAACGCTAATTCGTCCTGAATAATAGAGTAGGCTCTTCTGTACAAACGATATCGTACTTTACCCGTATCTATGTCCTCTTGCGTGAAACTATCACCAGGGTTTATCTTTCGTCTAGTTACCAACAACTCTCCGTATCTTGGTCCTGTGCTTAAGGTAAATAATATTTTGTTCGGCGATGTGATCAATGGATTAGTTTGATATTTGACATTTTGTCCAGTTATTATGACCTCCGCGGTATTCGTAAAATTCACTAGAATCTTTTTCACCTCTTTTAATTCGAGATCGATAAAGGTAATACGAAAATCAAAGATCTGTTGCGTTTTAATATCGCGAACGCTGGCTTGAAATTTAAATTCGTCTTGCGCTGGACTACCGATATTATGAAGGTAACGAACCATATGCGAATTCACGTCATGACTCGTGAAATGATCAGTGTTTTGCCAGCTGCTTGAAACGTCTTTCATCGTTTGCAACGTACCATATTGAGGTGACGTACTGATATCATAACGTATTTCTATCGTATCGTCGTCAGAATTCGTTATAAATGATAAATTTGCTGGCGTTAAATAAGAGAAGGATCGATGCACTACGACCAATCCAGTATTATGCAAAAGTTTAATCTGTAGTTGGTAAGCAGAGACTCGTAGGTATGCTGGCTGACTGCTTTCAATTCCATCGCTCACTTGTAAACCCAGCATAGCATTTGATTTCGCTGAAAGCGTTTTCAAAAATCCAATTAAACGTCGATCTTATTTATCTTTATTAAAATTGGTGCTTCTCTTTATAGATTTTTCGGTATTTATATTCATCATAATTATACTTTATAGAGTTACTAATTAAGTGTAGTTTTTTTTTATGTATGAAATTGGAGTAATCGTAAATATTATTTTGTAGCAATTTATTTTTTGACTTTAAATAAAATTATAAATATAAAAACTGTAGGTATTTTAATTTTGAATGTTTGTATGTTTGAATGTTAATGTAATAACTGAATTTATTGACACTTGTATTTTACCGATATTCTAGAATTAGCTTTGTTTCGCTTAAATTCCAATTAATGGATACGAATAAAAGTGATTACCATTGCCACGGTGAACATAGGCGATCAGCCCTTGCATTAATTCGGCTTGGGTGAAGGTGTCGATCGGCTTAGAAGGATAAGTAATTCTTTCGATATGTCCAGCATCCGTGTCAGTGCGCAGGACCGTGTAGACCAAAGTTTCCGACGGTGTATCCGCGTCAATGGCCCAAATTAATTCTTTTGTTAAAGTTTTTCTAGTGCCCTGTTAGAAGCAGCGGTTAAAAGATTAATTGCTTGACCAAGGCGAACGTAGTGACAATAAAAATGCTATGATGTAAAAAGTGCATTATTTTTTTGCTTCGAACTAACCAATTTAGGAACCGGGCTTTGATAATCATCGTAAGAAACGATTTACATCAGAGTCAAGGAAATTTTCGTTTCGTTGAAAGCCATGATACATACTATATCATTATTATCGCTTAATAGCTTATAGGAAAATCGATCTCGTTGCGGTATAATTGTCACGTTCTCTACGATCTGGTAGGGGGAACAAAAAAGTCTTCGCTTGACCCCGATTAACCCACGAGAGTTATTATATGCAGAATTGTATGCATATAGAGATAGAAAGAGAGAGAAAGAGAGAGAGAGAGAGAGGGAGAGAGAGAGGAAGAGTAAAAATCCTTAACAACTTAATCCCATCGTGATGATTACAGATAATAGGTACTTTAACAGATTTTATTTGACATGTTCTTATAAAAAAAAAAGAAATTCGAATTACAAACGATTTAGGTTTTATAAAATAGAAAATGGATGAGGAAAAAGAATTTCAGATATTTCTATAAAATACTTACTTGAGCCAATCGTAGCACTTTTGCCGTTGGTATTTCTAAAAGTGGCGGGTCATTGACAGGGGTGACGTTGACATGAAGAGGAAACCTGAGTCTTCCTCGGAGATATCCTGGAAGCGTGTATCCCCTTCCTGCCACCAACGTCAGTTCCAGTATCATGCTATCTTCTGTGGTTTCGCTTCCATCGTGCATGTACTGTATCTGTCATAAGGGTAACCACCATACAGGTATATATATACTGTTATTAACCATGCATCCTTCCGTAAAACAAATTATTATACCGTTTACACGAATGGAATTATTCACACAATAGTATAGTGTGTTACAGTCAACATATGTCTAGTCAGAGTATAGTCATAAACGAATAAACGAATGAACGAATGAACGAATGAACGAATGAACGAATGAACGAATGAACGAATGAACGAATGAACGAACGAACTAACGAACGTGTACGAGAGTGTGTACTTTATTGAATTCGCTTTGAAATTCAATATCCCTGAAATAACTTGACTCGAGGACATGTTTGAAAATATATATTTTCTGTAAATTCATCGTGTTACATCGGTATGGTTATTTAGCTATATACTCAAAGTTAACTCATAGTATACGCTACTTAATCTCCAATTAAAACAAAATTCGTTTACTCTGTTTCACATAATTGATTCCACGGAAAATCATTAACAATGAATTATACAGAGGGAACAGTAGAATTCGTTGATAACGAAGCACTAGATATATCAATGAATTCATTTTAAGCAGAGAATTCGAAATTATCCATAGTGATGTGCGGTATATGTGGCTTCTATGTTTGATGGAAGGACTCTCTTTCTCTTTGTTAACGTAATTCGTAAATTACATGGTAATTTACGGTTAGTCGAAGTGTAACGAACTTGAGATTGTTTCAAGAATAGAGAATCCATTATATCCAAGTAGCTTTATGTATATATATAAATATATATCAACTGGTTTGTGTGTGTGTGTTTTGCTTAGAAACTACTACGATTCTAATCAAAATTAATAACGGAAGGTTAGGTATGAAGATCAGGATATCGTCTCGTCTCGTCGATTTCAAGAATTAACGAAGCAAAAATAAAACGATTACAAAGTAATCGACTAGTTAAATAAAGCTTGTAGGAAGAAGACTTAGGTAAGTATCAGGAAGAGTAACGTTTCGGAGATAAGCAACTTTCTACTCGATTTAATCCAAGGGAAAAAACATTAATGAGTGGTGGCGGTGTTTATAAATAGGCTACTGTCGTTGGATAAATTAAGTGTGGCTTGCGGAGTGAAGAGAGCAAGCAAGAGCAAGGGAGATCAAGCACGAGCACACAGCCCCAACCATTCTAAACTTAGTCTTTACAAGCTGTACTATCTATAGAGGCTGCTCGTATGACGAATCGGGACTAAGCATGACTTTACCAATAACATTTTTTACTTTTTTTACTTCACTAAATTTATAATTATCACGAAAATAATGAACAATATTTATTAAACACTTTTTGTACAGAGAAGACAAATATATTACCTTGTCACTATTGATATCTTGTAAAGTGAAGGAACGCTCGGTTCTTGAATTTAGCAAGTCCAAAGCCAAAGTTCCATAAGTAGGTGGAGTAACCAAATTAAAAAGAACGCCATCCTCTTCGACACCATACTTGGCAATGTCTAAGACCATGCCGATATTTTCACTCGTAACAAGTACGTGTTCACCTTCTGATACTGAAAGCGGTGAAAGAGATAGAATCTCCAAATTGACGGGCAGGTTAGCGTTCGAGTAAACCTGAAAGTAAATTCAAATAGATCATTTCATAGAATTTCATCGGTGAATCGAACCATTATCAAAACGATTATCAAAACGATTATCAAACCTTGTAGTCCTCAGCGAAATTGGGTTTGATACAGAGAGGCTGATCACAGGTACATTTGAACGAATTAACGCCCAGTTGTTCGCAAAGGGCATCATTGACGCATGGATCGACTTCAACGCAAGGAAATCCCCAAACGCATCCTACGACTATACCTTGACTAACCTTGACATCGGGTAAGCCGAGTTCCTTGTTGTCCAGCATCATGTTACGAAGACAACCCTTATAACTCACATCACCTGAACTAAGCCCTTTACCCAGTGCTCTGGCACGTTTATTGAGTTCCGTACCACCGATATAAAGCGTATCGGCCAAGTCCAGGTAACGATTGCCGCCGGAAGGCAAAGCTATCGTCTTTTCTTGACGATCGACGGCTATGCCAATACTACTTGGACTAAAGTCGACGATAATACGATGCCATTTACCATCGGACACCACATTGCCATGTATTAATTCTGTCGGACCATTTCCTTTGTTCATCAACAGTCGAATCTTTCCTTCGAATAACTCGATCCCCAAGTAATCTGCATATTGACCAGTGTTGTAGAGAAGCAAGCCACTTTCGGTTCCAGTTTTCATATCAAATTCCCATCTGTAAGGATTGTTAATTGAGCTTGGAATCTAGTTCGATATGCAAGTATTCGCAAATTTAGATCTAGTCGATAGATATTTATCTAACTATACATTTCATACAATTATCGAACATTAGATATCTATTTACTTGTTGAAATTGCTGTTGAATTTTCGAATTATCTTTAGTACATACGATAGAATATCGTACAACGGGAGTTTCTACAGTATGAATTTCTATAATGCGCCAAAAATATTACTGACTACTATTTCTATAGAATAACATTCTTCATAGATCTAATAAAATATCTATGGAAATTTCTTCTCTTTCGACATATCGTCTACTTTTAATAAATTTTTATTTAATTATATAATAATATACATTAATTTTGAAAAGTTTCAAGTTTCAATTAATAAAAACTTTTACTTCTCTTAAAAATGAAAGTAAGTTTGACTGAGAAAAAATTGTTTCTATGTTAGGTTGAAAACTTTGCAAACCCATTCACATAGGTTTCGATTATTTGTTGAAATTATTATTATATATAAATATTAGTAAGAAGTTTGATCATATATATGTAATATATATTGTAGTTGTATTTACTTGTCCTAATGTCTGATCGAAAAATCGAACACGTTGCGTAACTGTGAGAAAGCTCGTTATATCATACAAATAAAAGAAAAAGCTATTGGTTCGAGACATTCGTTAGATTGTTCATCTTTGAAACGACTTGACGGTTAACTCAGTCAGAAAGAAAGCAAAGCGATAAACTCGATAACTATTGAGCAAACCCTATGAAAGTAACCAATTCTTTGATATTATCCAACAGGGGGAACAAGAATTGCCTGCCAGTTGAATGCCAACGTTCCTCGCAATGGATATTGAAATAGGAATGAGACTTTTGTAAACACGTTCGATCGATTTCGCATCGTTAAGACGTTCTTCCGTTTTACGAAACTTTAGATACTACTACTCTCCTCTTAAAGGGAAAATCTCATTCCTTTAGCTTGAACTTTGATTGGAATCAATTCTAAAACGTGCAAAAGTTTGATAACAAATAAGTCTATTAGTATGTCATCGTAACTTCATTCAATAACTTTTATCCTATTAAACTAATTTATTTCTAAATTCATCAACATATCTCATATATTTTCTACGATTTGGAAATTTATTTGGTCAATATTTTCATTTGATAAATATATATAATTTTTTTGTTTAGTTTATCAAAAGTGATTGGATAATATTTGGTAGGAAAAATGAATTAATTACGCAATCTCTTTTTTACGCACGCTTATCACATCACAGTTTAATCACGTGCAAGCTAATCGATAAAGAGATAGCAGCAGAGCTAACGCCCTCGTCATTTCCCAAACTTCATAGACGTTGTGTGAATCCTAATAGTTGTAGACAAAGCATCCTCGTTACACGCACATTCATATAACATATTACTACGCATATATGAATACATAGACACATACACATACATCATACCACATCACTCCACACTCGATGTATATATGTGTATATGCACGGTCTAGAGTGATTCTCCTCTTCGAACCATCTTGGTTAGAAACCTTTGAAACGAGCAATTTGTACCATCACACACATCATCAATTTATCTTTGTCTTTGAACTAAGAAAAAAGCTATTCTTCAATAATAGCAAATAATAATACGAGTTTTCTGAATTGTTCAAGTTTTGGAGAATTAATATTATTAGCGTATCCATGCACATATATGTATATGTATGTTAAATACATATAGTATATATATATATGCATCGAGCAATTTGCGTTTAAACTGAACTTTCTCGATTCTCTTCCCTATTTCGATGCTTTCACTGAAAGGAAAATGAAACTACTTCGAAACGATCCATTCTCAAAATGTTTCACGATAATGGTATAGATAGTTAGGTATGCATTTAATTTATTTTCCTGAAAAAGAGAAAATATTCAAATTAAAATATACCAATTTAAAGTAAAACTTGAATATTCCTAGATGAACGTTTAAACGACTACGATGTGTTTTGTATTGGTTATCGCTTTCCACTACATTTGAGAATCACTGTTTGCATGAGTGATGCCTAAATTGCATTCAGTAGACTGTGATGTGTAACAGGTATGCACTAAAATATATTCTATTCCAATGATATATGATATCTATACAATAATAATAATAATATGTGAGGTATATATTTCTATATTTTGTATACATATATTACATTATGTATATATCTACAGCTTTGAGATATTGTATATTAAAGTTTTTATGAATAACGATAACCTTATTTATGTTAAATAAAATAATGAGTGAAAATGAATAGATCGAAATAAAAAAATAAATAAAGGTAGCGAAAAGAAGATATTGGAATATGATTTGTATAACGTAGGACATAACTCGGAAAGTTGGAAGAATATACGCGTCATTGTTTGAATAAGCAAACTCATTTTTGTGTTAATACAAACGTGCAGATACGTATGTATGTATTATACGTATATTTACTTTTTCATTTTTAATTCCCCTTAAAATAATTTCATGCTAACAATAAATGCATTCTCTCATCATTGTAAGCAAACGCAATACAAAAGTTCATAACGAAATAACAAAACTATGAATAATCGAGAATAATTGTTTATATACATTATATTTATTTATTTATTTATTTATTTATTGAAATATTACATTCGTTTGATAAATGAAGTTTCTTGTTTTTTTTCCTTTTTTAATGAAGAAGTTTGATCGAACTAAAAATATAATTCATATAATATTTCGATAAAGTTGATTTTGATTTATTCAAATTTAAGTATATATATATATATATAAAAGAAGTATGATAAAATTTATTCAAGTAAAAAGGATCTTCCAGATTTTCTTTCACCATATCTTATTTTTGTTAAGCCGCATTGCTCTCGCGGAAAGTTGCAATTTCTCTTCCTTTTACTCAGTATGCGAGTAGAAAGGTCTGGAGTTACGATATTCCGAATCACTTCAGCTTTGCCTTGCTTTCCTAGTAAAGAGACCGAATCATGCATCTTTCATTTTCGAACTTCTCCCTCGTTTCTAAGCTCCTTCGGTCGACGAAAGAGAGAAAGAGAGAGAGAGAAAGAAAGACTCTTCATATTACAAGATTTCTCAGAAAATATGCAAAATGTTACCTAACAACTTCTTGCGCAATTCTCGATATCATACCTAGCTCTTATATTTGAAGATACATCTACTACAGTCATGAATATTTATGATATTTATTATGCGCAATATAATATCAATTATTATTGCGAACAAATTGAGAATCGATTTAGAATAGTTCGCTCTGATTCGTAATTAAGATTTTTTTCTTTAATTCGAAACTTTTATTATATATAGGTGCACACACACACACACCTTATACCTTTTCAATTTATTCTTGAATATTACTTTGTTCCAAAGTTGAATATTCAAGAAGGATAAGTAAAAACAAAGACAGTATCGAGCCAAAGTGGCTTGAAAGATAATTCGTTCTCTCACGTGGAAAATATAAAAGTTAGTTCTATCGGAAAGAAAGGAAAGTGTGATGCTGCCCGTGGAACCAGAAGGTGTAACCGAGTGGAACTACAAAGCACAATGAGAACGAGCTTGCCTCGTCTAGAAATATAAAGAGATCAAACACGCCAACTTGACAAATAAGCGTTCGACAATAATGAAAAGTCAACTTTTAGTTTCATTTTTTTTACCTATTATAAGAATCATTATCAAATAATTAATTATTTTTTTCTATTTAAACAAGTTAATAACATTTCTATCTTTCAATAAGATAGAACAGGTCAAATAGTTGAAATATTTTCTAATAATTATCATTATTAATTTGTGATTACACATGAAATATTATTCGATATATAATATTAATATTTGTTTTTGGTTTGTAATACTTTTTGTGGATCACCCTGTATACAAGATACCTACACATAACTATGTAGTATGATATACACACATATATATATATATATATATATATATATATATTTCAGAACAAATAATTCAATTCATTCCTCTTATCGGGATGCCGAGATCGATCTGCAGCACGTTCGTTCTTCGAATTTTATCCAGTGATTCCTTTCATTCAGCTACCCTCAAACTACTCTCTTCTATGCTAACACGTTCGTTACGCTTCACAGGAGAAACGATTCGACAATTGTCATTCGAGTATGTGTGCTCACTTTTGTAGACGATTTTCGAATGCCATCGTTCAAATGAGCATTGCTGATTGTGAGACATATTTGACATTGGTAGAATCGAAGCAAAGTAATATAAACTAACATCTAGCTAAAATAAACTTCTGAACTTTTTGACCTGTGTTAAACTATTATTGAAAGAAAATGAGCGAGGATAAAAGTCAATTGTTATAGCAAGTAAAAAATTTGTTGAATATTTTAACGATATTACAGAACTTTTCATTTGCTTCGTTTTAAAATCTGTTTCATAATGGAACGGGTATTAATTTAACATGTAATTACAGAGAGAAATGAAAGGAGCATAGTCAATGAAAACGATACAAATTTCGTTTTAATATTGGTAGAACCGTGCTCGAAGTTTTTCCATCTCTATTTAATTTTTTTTCTCCATCCATCAACACTTTTGTTTTTTTTTTTACTGGCCAATCGATGAAGAAAATAAAAAGAATGTAATAAAAATAGTCGATATTATCGGGAAACGTGATATAATAATATAAAACGTGAAAATTCATACAGAATTAAACCTTCTTTTTTGTTCTTATTTTAGAATTGTTTTTCTATTTATAAAGGAAATTAATTTATTATATATATATTGCTAAATACAATTAAACAGTATGTTTAGGTACATATGTATATCTATGATATAGATAGTCAATAATCTAATAATTACTATCTAAATGTACTTGACATTATGTTTAATTTAATTATCAATATATTGATTTGACGTTGATTATCGACACATCATTTGATTGACATCATTTTGTTTCAAAATGGTTTGTAAAAGATTGATACTAGTTATTAAATTAGTTTAAGCGTGT